AACTTTTAAAGGAAAGATGAGTAGTTAACAATTTGTTATGGTCTTGTATGCACTATTCTTGATTGCGTTACAACTGATGATAGCAGCATCTAATTATAAAGATTACAGTGATTAGCTTGAGGTGTTGATACATCATTATTTCAGTCATTACATCACCTTGATAGAATTCTATTTTCACCCACATCCATATTGACTAATCATGAGGGTAAATCATGTTTTTCAACAGGCTGATCTCATTCTTAATTCTTAATTTTTCTGAAATTCATTTTCTAAGGTTAATCCTATCTTGTAATCCTAAGGCTGCCGTGTGTGTGTGTGTGTGTGTGTGTGTGTGTTGGACAGAGTGAAAGTTGTGTGCATGCTAGGGATGTCACTGCTCACAGGAAATTTTAAGTAAGAAAAGCACAATGGGGCCAGCACTGTTGTGCAACAGGTTAACGCCCTGGCCTAAAGCACCAGCATCCCATATAGGCACCGGTTCTAGACCCAGCTGTTCCACTTCCAATCCAGCTCTCTGATATGGCCTGGGAAAGCAGAGGATGGCTCAAGTCCTTGGGCCCCTGCACCCACGTGGAAGACCGGGAAGAAGCTCCTGGCTCCTGACTTCAGATAGGCGCAGCTCCGGCCGTTGAGGCTAATTGGGGAGTGAACCATCAGATGGAAGACCTCTCTCTCTCTCTGCCTCTCCTCTCTCTGTATAACTCTGACTTTCAAATAAATAAATAAAATCTTTAAAAAATATATCTTCCTGAAATTATATAATTTCAGAATAATTTTAGTATAAATTCAAGTTTGCTTTGAAAAGTTTGTGGAAAAAATTGATCAAATGATCAATTTATTTTGGTGCAAAAAAATTTTAAATCCATACATAAATTCACATTTATTAAATAAAAAAAAGAACGTATGGGGGGAAAGCCATTGTAATTCATAAACTGTACTTTGGAAATTTATATTTATTAAATAAAAGTCAAAAAAAAGATGCTTTTTCCATGAACTCCTCATGTGTCCCATATAATAAGCAAGACTTACAAAATATTTCTTGTTAATCTAGGGCAGGCATTTGGCCTAGCAGTTATGAGACCAGTTAGGATGCCCATCTCCCACAGCAAAATGCTTGGCTTCAATTCCTGGCTCTGCTGTTGACTCTAACTTCCTGCTAATCCAGCTCCTTGGAGGCAGCACTGATGGCTCACATGACTGCTTCCTGCTACCCCAGGAGACCTGGGGTTCCCATTTAGGGCCATTGTGGGCATTTGAGGAGTGAACCAGCATATGGGAGCTCTCTGTCTGCCTGCCTCTCAAATTTTTTCTTGATTTGAAATTCAAATTTAATTGGGTATCCTCTGTTTAACTGGGAGTCTTGAATTATTCATAATTTATCTTAAATTCAAGTTTAATCAAGTATCCTATTTTTTTATGTGTTAAAAATTTGTTTTAAAAATTTGTTCTCTATTCTAGCACCATCTGAAATGTACTGATACAGCACCACTAGGAAGGGGATGCTTAATTCAACATCATGGGATTGCATCACATTGGCAGGGACTAATGTAAATGTATATTAGGAACTCTGGCTACAGGCTGCAAAGACACTTGGAAGACAGAACTTTTAGCTTTTTAGTCTCTGTGTTATGGAAGGCATCCAAGAAGTATGAAGGACCTATGACAAGCAAATAATCTCTCACAATGGCTGTACAGTAATATTGACCCACACCATTTATAATTTGAGACAAGGGTCTGAATGCAAATGGTTTTCTCAGGAGGAGTTCATAGCAAGTGTCTGCTGGGAGAGGAGGGAGGTGAAGCAGAGAGGAGGAAAGCCAACAAAGTGTTTGTACTGGAGGAAGCTTTTTGGTGAGTGACTGGGGCTAAGAGACAAGGAAAAAAAGTGTTTTACTACCAATCCCCATCTGCCATTATCTGAACGTTGCTCCTGGTATCATTAACTCCTCTGCAGTTCCTAGCTTGGTTGTATGTGGGCTGGGAGAAATGCCCCAAGAGGAAAACCCTATGTACTTGCAGTAGGATACTGGCAGTGCATATAGAAACTGTGACCCCAGGGAGACAGGAGTCAAGGGGTAAATATTTTGAGAAATTAGACATGATTAGCCCCATGCATTCTCATGACCCTTGGTTTATATCATTCCTCAAGAGTTAATCACATCCTGCCTCACATTTTATCTGTGTGCAATTTGAAAATATTTATATTAAATTACTAATTGTCTTAGCTGGACTCCTTCAGAAAGCAGAACCTGAGGAAAATGCTTCTGTGCTATCAATAAGCACAATCCCAGGAAATCAAGAGTGGTGGGGAAAAGGCCTCAGAAGCAGAAGCACCAATGAGTGTGCTTTGAAGCTGGCCAACATCAAGTACAACTGATTTCCTAATCTCCCAGGAACATTCTCAAAGAAACTACAAAGACTGAGTGTCAGAACATTCCACCAAGAGATGGACGGGAAAATAAGCTTTCTACCGCTCCCTTACTCTCATCATCAAAGGTTCACTGGACAGGGACTCAGGTCTTCACATCCACAGTACACACGGATAGGCAGTGAGAGACTCCCACAGCATTCAACACCTCAGTATTAACAGAGAAGCCAAGGTGCTTGGTAAGGGAGGCAAGGCGCTATCTGTGGGCTCATGAGATCTGTGTGAATCCCGTCTGCAGCTGGGCTGGGGCAGAGACCAGAACCAAGCGAGGGCAAGAGGATCTGACATGGAGTCTGACTCACCAACTGAAATCATTCGTTAGGGATAACCCAGTCCTCATATGGACCCAACCCTCCTGCCACAGAGATGTTCCTGTAACCACAGATGCATCCCCACAGTGGCTTACCAATGAAAGCAACTTCCAACTGTGGAAATCCAGGGCTTCGAACTAAAAGCAAAGGAAGCTGAGTGGATAGAAGTATTCCTTCCCCCAAATGCCTGATCACAATGAAAACAGGTCTCTGAGGAGTTGGGAAAATAAAATCAAGAAAGAAAATAAGCCAAGTGGAACAAATATGAATGAACTCCAAATCAGGAAGCCTTGTTTTTACCAGTGAGTCAGAGGGCAGGGGTCCTCTGGTTCACTCCAGGATCCCTCAGACCCATTCTATAAAGAACTGTTTGCTGTTTTAATTTATCTTATTGGTCAACTGCTATGAGGACTAATTATTAAGCGTGTAGTGTGTGTGTGTACGTGTGTGTGTATGAAGCCTGCATTAAAGAGGCACAAGGGACTACCTCAAAGAAACAGGATGCTCCCAGTATCTTTATAGGCACTGTCCCAAAAGGCAGGCAATGCTTAAAGGAGAAACACGCTTACCTGTTGGAAGAATATGGGTAGCAGTAAGAATACAAGTCAGCATATACCATTGTTTAAAAAAGAAGATAGGTATTGTACTTGATTTCAATTCCTTTATACTCATAAGCTCCATATTAATTTTGTAATCTTTCTACTGTTGAATACATTATGAGTCAGGATTGATGAAAAAGTTGATGACACACATTTTCTATAGTAATACAGTACCATTTCAAAGGAAATAATTCTGATTTCAAGAAAATGTTTTAAAAGTTAACATTCCTTAAGAAACGTTCTCATTTAAATCCAACATCCTGTGAATAAATTTATTGAAGTATTCCAAACATGTAGAAAATGATCTGGAAGTTTCATAATCTATAACAGTTTACTAAAATGTTTTTAAGCACAGAAGGTCAACCACAATGAACCCATTAATGAAGGTAGAGCAGACTTTTAAACAAAAAGTACATTCCATCTTCAGGAATAACAGTCGTGTATGTTACTACAGAAACCATGGTCTATGTAATCATTTAACTGAAGCATATTCTTCAAGATCAAGTGCACGGTTATAGTCACCCACAGCTTCATCAATCAGACCTATTTTACCACGAACTTCTGCTCTAAGATTATACACGAGAGCATCATTAGGCTTCAAAGACAGGGCTGCAAAAGAAAAAGAATTCAAGATATGCTTATGCTAGCACTCAAAAATAGCCTCTTTAAAAACATACATTTTTAATAGAATAACTTCAATATTACTTATTTGAAAATATTTTCTTCAAATGTAACTCTTAAATTTAATTAAGTTAAATTTAAAATTGCATATTTCTAAGAAAAGTAACTTGAAGTAGTACAGAACAATGTTTTTCTTTTTAAAGCAGGTATCATTTGTGTATGGTTTCCTAATAATTCTCTATATCTGAGCTTACCAATGCTTTAACTTATTACATAAAGACATCTATATTGCTAGGGCCAGTGCTGTGGCTCAGTAGGTTAGGCATCTGCCTGCAGCACTCTCATCCCATATGGGCTCCAGTTCAAGTCCTGGCTGCTCTACTTCTGATCCAGCTCCCTGCTGATGGCCTGGGAAAGCAGTAGAAGATGGCCCCACTACCTGGGTCCCTGCACCCACATGGGAGACTAGATAAAGCTCCTGGCTCCTGGCTTCAGATCAGCACATCTCCAGCCTTTGAAGCCATTTAAGGAGTGAACCAGCGAATGGAAGACCTCTCTCTCTCTCTGTCTCTCCCTCTCTCTGTCTATAACCATACTTCTTAAGTAAATAAATAAATATTTTTTTAAAAGAGGAGAAATCTATATTGGTCGCTTGAGATGTATGATATCTAAACACACTCATCCTTATGTAAGTTTATCTAGACAAATAGACCTGATCATTTTCTTTTGTAGTCCAAAAACAAATTCATCAATGCTATAATCTTACCAAAATAATCACTAAAAAATATACCTTTACTGAGATCCACCTCAGCTAGTTCATATTGCTTTAAACAGCAGTGTAAATGTGCTCTATTAAAGTATGCTGCAGCCCACAAAGGACAGCTGTCAATTACACGTGCAAAATCTTCCTTTGCTTCTTCATATTTCTTTAATAACATATGTGCAACAGCTCGATTCATGCGAGCATATTCATTTTCTGGATCAAATTTTAAAGCCTTTGAAAAGTAGTCACTAGCCTAGAAAGTGTGAAGACATGATAATTTGAATATATTTTAATTAGCAGCTCTACAGGAATTTGAAACACTTTTATTATTTATTTAAAACTATGGCTTATGGACTATTGAGGGGCAGCAGAAGCTTTTCATCCCAGATACAGAGGTATGTTTGCTACAGAGAAGGTTTTAAAAAATGATAATGAAACCAACCAGAAGTTGGTCTTCTTTTTGTTATTAACATGTGTTGTCTATTTTAGACAAATGTCAATGATATATATATATAATACTCTTCCCTGCTGGAGGGAAATGTTTCCACTATCTACCAACTGAATACTATATCACTCTATAGTACTTAAAAAAAAAAAAAAAAAAAAGACACAGTGGGTTAAGTCACCACCTGCAATGCCAGCATCCCCTGTCAGAAAGCCAGTTTTAGCCCCTGTTGCTCAGCTTCTGAATCACCCCCCTGCTAATATGCATGAGAATGCTCAAGAGATTTGGGACCCTGTCGTCTATATGGGAGATCCAGATGGCGCTCTGGCTCTTGGCTTCAGCTTGGTGTAGCCCTTACCAATGCGTCCATATGGAGAATTACTCAGAAGACAGAACTTTCTCTCTCTTTCTTCCTCTCTGGATATACCCTACTTTTTGTCATTCTACCTTTCAAATAAATACAATAAACCTTAAAAAAAAAAAAAGAGGCAAGGGGCTACACTGCAGCATAGCTGAGGGAGCCACTGCCTGCAGCATTGGTATCCCACGTGGTTCGAGTCCCAGCTGCTCCATTTCTGATCCAGTTCTCTGCTGTGTCCTGGGAAAGCAGAAGTTGGCCCAAGTCCTTGGGCCCCTGCACCTGTGTGGGAGGTCCTTCACTACAAAGTTTGAGATGCTGATGAGACTGTTTCTCAAGTTATTAATCTGTTCTCTGATATCCTTAAGGAAGAAAATTTGGCTCTTACTTTAAAAACTTAACCTTAAAAGAGAAAACCACTTTTTACATCATAACTAGCTCTAATTATTTACCTTTCAATTTTTTCCCAACTCACCACAACCCAGCTTCTACCTACCTTCTTCTATTCCATGAATTCTGCCCTTGGTAAAAGTTGCAGATATTCTCAAGCCTAATGATAGCTTCTAGTTCTTTCTTCCATAGTATTTCTGAGATATGGCCAGTCTTGAACCCTCCCCTTTCTTGTTAAAACTCTCTTTGCCCTTTAGACAGGCTGTCTCCCTGGCATCTTTTCCTCCTCTGATTATTATCTCTCAGTCTACTTCAATTAACTAGTCTCCTCTTTAAGTTTGCCTTAAGTGAAATTTTAAATTAGGTTTTTTTCAAGGCCCTGACCTCAATTTCATCAGGGATTTTATGGATGGAGCATTAATTGTATGGTGGCTAGTAGCCCAGACCAAGGAGCCAGAATACTGGGTTCAAATCCTGCCTCTACCTTCGGTGAATTACTAAAGTTCCACAAATGGTCTTCAAAAAGTTCATGGAAATGAATATTAAAAATTATGAATGGATTTTGAAATTTGTTTGCACCACATTAAACTTAGCTTTCAATTTCATTTTTCCATGTGTTTTTTGAAGTGCCTTAGGTTTTGTACCAATTTCCTCATCTGCAAAACAAACTTATCAAATAAAACTCCATTTCCAGTGTTGAGGATTAAATCAGCCAATATGTACAGTACTGATGATGATATGCAAATGTAGTAAGGATTTAACAAATTATTACATATATACTTTTTTCTTCTATAAATGGAGAGGCAACATGGACTTTAGGCAATACTGTATAAACTTTGCTTCCTCTGACTTTGAGGGGTAATTAGTTCAAGACTAAGTAACCCATCTCATCCCTGAACAGCAGCTGTTCTAGGCCACAGTTAAGTGCAATTTAAGGATCCAATGAGATAGGAGCAGAATTGACATCCTTCTGTGAGGAGCTTAAAGAGAATTCATTCCTGAAGAGAAGGCTGCACTCACAGTCATAAAAAATGAGTCATAGGAATGACTCCATGCAGGATCAAGGCTTTCATCATATAGTAATTTGGACTTCCTTTTATTTTACCAATAAATGACCAGTAAAGGTAACACCATTACACATCACAAAAGCACAACTTTAATCATATGGGAAAAAATGGCTATCTTTGCTAGGAGAAAAGAGCTCAGTAAAAGATCAATACTGAACCCAACTGTGAACAATGCAACTTTATATTATTGCTTGCAAAATATATTACCTAGAAAATGAAAATTTACAAATTTAATGAGGTTACTTGATGTATAGGAATATTAACTATAAAGCAATTAGAGGCTATAGCAATTAGAAGCTTGATTTTTACAATGGCCTAATGTCTTCATATCTGTAATAAATGTATTAATTAGAAAGCAGATCAAGGGTTTTTAAATCACCTGTAGTTCATAATACCTGTGAGTAGTTCATGCAAATGTGTTTTAAAATCACTCACTAAGAAGAAGCCAGAGCACACACATGTTTTAACACTCTAGAGATTACTGGATTTGTTGAGGGGACCCTTCCTCATCAACCTCCTTCCAGTATAGTTAAAAATAAGAGGGCAAAGGGAAGACAGGCAATAGAACCAGCAAAACTCAGAGCATGCTAGCATCACAAAATCGCTTATTCTCAAAGTCTTCTTGTCTCTGGAGAGTGTTTGCACAGTTATGCCCAACCATCTAGTCTATCAGAACAGAGTATGGAGTGCAGTTTAGATGAAGTATTTGCCCAGTTAATGTGTCTGCAATTTGGGTCACATAGAACCATACTCTTTATTTTTAAAAGTTTCAACTACATTTTATATCTAACTAAATAATTTTGTACATGATATCCACAGAGTTACTAAAGACAAATAGGTTTAAAAAGTGAATGTCTCCCTCCCAAGTAGATCTTAAGCATCTCAGCTAACAAGCAAAAATCACCCCAGGTATCTCATTTGTTCTAACCTCATTAACTAACTTTACAATGCAAATGAACCTTTTTAAGACCCACTCAGACAGTGGTCTGACATTGATGATTTTTAGGGCAACTGACCTTGGATTATGACCTCCTACTTGTCCACTGAGATCTGAGAAAGGACAACCCCACCTATGCCATACAGAGTAAGACCTGAGATAACTCTGTCCTAAAATCCAGCTTACCAAGAGGTCAACCAGGCTAATCAATGGGGTCAGCAAGCTGCTGAGGGTCAGGCACTAACTTAGGAAAGAGTAAGGACCAACCCTAAAGCAATGGTAGTAGATACACAGCGGGGAGGGAGACATATTTAAAGAAACAATTAAGAGGCTAACCTGATGGGACTCCGTGGCTGCTTAGAAAAAGCAAGAGAGGATGCCAAAGTTGTGTTTTGGTTCTGATCATTTTCCTCAGGTGACTATGTTAGACAACATAAATTGAGAGTGGGCTTACACACAGAAAGCTGCCTAGGGATAGAGGACATAGAGATCCGCTCAGTCTAGGCTTTAATGCCCTGGTAAAATATCCAGTTTCAGCAGCTGGAGATAAATAGAGGTTAGGAGCTCAAAAAAATAAAAAAGAGTAGATATAGGCAGATAATTTAAGACATGGGAATAAATGAAGCTTCTATAAGGTAAGAAAATGTAAGGAGAAGAGGGCAAAGCATGATCCTGCCCCTTAAGGGTTGACAATCTAATTGGATGGAGGAAACAAGAGACCAACACAGAAACAACCATAGAGTGATGCAAAGCAGTCTTAATCTGTGCAGGAAGAACTGTATACAAAGCAATAAAGAGTGAAGGTCTCATTTGAAATTCATAACCACAAACCTCAAATGAGGACACAATATTGTTACTACAATCTCATATGTCTACCCTATGTGGCTCTGGCACAATCACTTCACATTTTCTCTTTTCTCCTCAAAACTCCTAGTCCCCCCTTTCTTCAATGTTTCCTTCTACTCTGAACTGGTGAGTGATATATTTCCTGAAGAAGCTATCATCACTAATAGACAGAAATCCCTACCCCCCAGGTACCTATCTAGATTCAACTCTGTTCAAACCCTCTGCCATCCCTCTTGACATAATGGATGGTGTCCTACAGCTTCCAACATCAAAAAATGGAAGATTTTTTATCCTGATTATTCCTGTCACTCTCCTACACCAACAGCTTCTAACTTTTTAGTAGGTGCTTCTCTTTAACAAGGGAGAATGAATCAATGTCACTTATCTTTTTTTTTTTTTTTTTTTTTATTTTATTTTTTTGACAGGCAGAGTGGACAGTGAGAGAGAGAGACAGAGAGAAAGGTCTTCCTTTGCCGTTGGTTCACTCTCCAATGGCCGCCGCGGCCGGCGCGCTGCGGCCGGCACACCGCGCTGATCCGATGGCAGGAGCCAGGAGCCAGGTGCTTTTCCTGGTCTCCCATGGGGTGCAGGGCCCAAGCACCTGGGCCATCCTCCACTGCACTCCCTGGCCACAGCAGAGAGCTGGCCTGGAAGAGGGGCAACCGGGACAGAATCCGGCGCCCCAACCGGGACTAGAACCCGGTGTGCCGGCGCCGCTAGGCAGAGGATTAGCCTAGTGAGCCGCGGCGCCGGCCCAATGTCACTTATCTTTAAAGAAGAAAGAAAACATAAAATTTTTATCCTCAAAACACATTATGGCTACCATTTTCATTTAGCTACTATGATTCACAGAAGAATTTTTTTTAAGATTTTATTTATTTGAGAGGTAGAGTTATAGACAGAGTGAGAGACAGAGAGAAAGGTCTTCCTTCCATTGGTTCACTCCCCAAATGGCTGCAATGGCCGGAGCTGCGCTGATCCGAAGCCAGAAGCCAGGTGCCTCCTCCCAGTCTCCCATGTGGGTGCAGGTGCCCAAGCACTTGGGCCATCTTCTACTGCTATCCCAGGCCACAGCAGAGAGTTGGATTGGAAGAGGAGCAGCTGGGACTAGAACCGGTGCCCATATGGGATGCCGGCGCCACAGGTGGAGGATTAACCTACTGTGCCATGGTGCCGGCCCCCGCAGAAGAATTTTTTTAAAGGCTTATTTATTTATTTGACAGGCAGAGTGACAGACAGAGTGAGAGAGACAGAGATCTTCTGTCCTCCAGCTCACTCCCCAAGTGGCTACAACAGCCTGGGTTGGGTCAGGTTGAAGCCAGGAGCCAGAAATCCCATTTGGGTCTCTCACATGAGTGGCAGGGGCCCAAGTACTTGGTCATCTTCTGATAAGGTGTCTTATCAAAAAGCTGGATTGAAAGCAGAGCTTCTGGAACTTTGGTGCTCCAATGCAAGATGCCAACATTGCAAATGGTGGCTTAATCCACTGTGCCACAACACCGGCTCCCATAAAGAATTTCATAGACAAATTTTCTATGGTCACTGTCTGTCTCTAATTCTTTGCCTCACATTTTCTCCACAACCCCTTCATTCAAGTTCTGTCTCCACTGTTCCACCATCCTCCTTTTTTTTTTTTTTTTGACTCTTTAGTGGCAGTTGATAGGGGGACGCCTTTCTTTTTTAAAAGCACTTTATTCTCTAGGTGAAATTAAACCATCCTACTTCCTATCATCCAGACTTGGTGTTCCCTTCTCAGTCTGCTTTCCAACATGCTCTCTCTCTTCCACTGCTAAATTCTGGTATTATCCCGCAGGATTTACTCCTGAATGAACCTATGCACTCTATCCAGGCAACTGCACACAGCACCACCCATGTGCTAACACTGATTGGCTATTCCTTATATGGGACTGCACTAGATATGTGTTACTCCTTAATAGTTTCTTATTTCTTTCCTATGTCTTTCTCTGGTAAAAGGAGAGCTACCTCAGAAAAGAAGCCTTTCCCATCTTGTCCATTTCTGTGTTCTCAGAGCCTTTGTACATCAGAAATATGTGGAGACTGAATGATTGGAGAGTGAAATGAAATCGGGAAAAGTAGGCTGCATTTGCCCAGAAAAAAAGATCAGAACCACAGTACACAAAAGTGCCTCAAAGATCATTTTACTAAGGGGTGTGGTGATGATAATGGGTGGCAGAGGACATTTCATAGATGACAGATCTCAAAAATGTCAACAGTAAGAACAACTTTTTTAAATGAATGCAGCGTCTTAGAAGGCAAAAGTTGTGTAAAGTTCTGAGAAAAACAGTGAAGCAACACTTACAAGACAAGGAAAGAAAGAAAGGAGTCAAGGGTATACACCATCTAGAGGTAGAAACCATACAGGCAAACAGCTAACAACATGAAAAGACTCAAGGAATCTTGCTGTCAGGAGCTCTTCCTTAGGATCCTACCACGGCCTAATTTCAGACAACCAAGAAAAGATTGGCAGGGAGGGGACTCTGACAAATACAAATATGTAACAAAAAGGCCAGTGATAAGGAATACACTGAACTGAAGAAATAAAACTAAAGTGTACAATAGCCAGGCAGCGCTGTGGTGAATGCGCTAGGCCTCCAACTGCAACACTGGCATCCCATATGGGCACCAGCTCGTGCCCAGGCTGCTCCTCTTCCAATCAAGCTCTCTGCTATGGCCTGGGGAAGCAGTGGAAGACGGCCCCTCACCTGTGTGGGAGACCCAGAGGAAGCTGGTGTCTCCTGGCTTTAGATGGGCCTGGCTCTGGCTGATTCGGACATTTGGGACATTTGGGGAGTGAACCAGCAGACCTTTCTCTTTGTCTCTCCCTGTCTCTGGCTCTGGCTCTCTCTCAAATAAACAAATAAAATTCTTTTAAAAATGAAGTGTGCAGGCCGGCGCCATGGCTCACTAGGCTAATCCTCCGCCTGTGGCGCCGGCACACCGGGTTCTAGTCCCGGTTGGGGCGCTGGATTCTGTCCCGGTTGCCCCTCTTCCAGGCCAGCTCTCTGCTGTGGCCAGGGAGTGCAGTGGAGGATGGCCCACGTCCTTGGGCCCTGCACCCGCATGGGAGACCAGGAGAAGCACCTGGCTCCTGCCATCGGATCAGCGCGATGTGCCAGCTGCAGCACGCCGGCCACGGCAGCCATTGGAGGATGAACCAACGGCAAAGGAACACCTTTCTCTCTGTCTCTCTCTCTCACTGTCCACTCTGCCTGTCAAAAATAAATAAATAAATAATAAAAAATAAAAATAAAAAAATGAAGTGTGCAATAATGGTACAAAAGTACATAAGTACTGAATTATCTGGCAGTGTAGGAATAATTAAACACAAAAACTATGAGAACAAAGACAATGGAAAGTAAGCTTGCATGAAAAGCTGGTGCATAAGCACAGACATGTTTAAAAAAAACAAGAACAAGCATTTTTCTTTTTTTCTCCCAAAAAACCTTTTATTTAATGAATACAAATTTCGTAAGTACAACTTTACGAATATAGTGATTCTTCCACCACATCCACCCTCCCAACCCCACTCCATCTCAATTCTTCATCCCTCTCCCACTCCCAGTCCCATTATCCATTAAGGGAAAAAAAAGCGAACTGTACCTTGACAGTCAAGACAAGGGCTGTTCAAGTCATTGCTTCTCAAAGAGTCAATTTTACTTCTACAGATTTCCTTTAAGGTGCTCTGTTATCACAAATCAGGGAAAACATATGGTATTTGTCCCTTTGGGACAAGCTTATTTCACTAAGTATGACGTTTTCCAGATTCATCCATATTTTTGCAAATGACTGGATTTCATTTTTTTATTGATGCATAATATTCCATATGGCACATATCCCATAATTTCTTTATCCAGTCTTCAGTTGACGGGCATTTAGGTTGATTCCATGTCTTAGCTATTCTGAACTGAGCTGCAATAAACATGGAGGTGCAGATAACTTTTATTTGCTGATTTTATTTCCCTTGAGTAAATTCTGAGGAGTGGGATTGCTGGGTCACATGGTAGGTCTATATTCAGATTTCTGAAGTATCTCCAAACATGATTTCCACCAACAATAGATTAGGGTACCTTTTTCCCCACATCTTCGCCAGCATTTGTTGCTTGTTGATTTCTGTATGAAAGTCATTCTAATGGGGGTGAGGTGAAACCTCATTGTGGTTTTGATTTGCATTTCCCTGACGGTTATGATCCTGAGCATTTTTTCATGGTTCTGTTGGCCGTTTGGATTTCCTCTTTTGAAAGATGTCCATTTAAATCCTAGGCCCATTTCTTCACTGGGTTGTCTGTTTTGTTGTTGTGGACTTTCTTGATCTTTTTATATATTCTGGTTATTAATCCTTCATCAGTTGCATTGTTTGCAAATAATTTCTCCCATTCTGTTGACTATCTCCTCATTTTCCTGAGTGCTTCTTTTAAAGAACAGAAGCTTCTCAATTTGATGTAATCCCTTTGTGAATTGTGGCTTTGATTGCCTGTGCCTCGGGTTTGCCTATGCAAACATATCACAAAGTTTCCTAAATGTTCTCTAATAATTTGATGATACCAGGTCATAGATTTAGGCCTCTAATCCATTCTGAATGGACTTTTGTATAAAGTGTAAGATAGGGGTCTGCTTCATGCTTCTGCAGGTGGAAATCCAGTTTTCCCAGCACCATTTGTTGAAGAGACTGTCCTTGCTCTAGGGATTAATTTCAGCTCTTTGATCAAATATAAGTTGGTTGTAGATACATGGATTGATAGCAAGCATTTCTATTCTGTTCCATTGGTATATTCATCTGTTTTTATACTAGTACCAGGCTGTTTTGATTATAACTGCCTTGTAGTATGTCTTTTTTTTTTTTTTGTTTTTTTTTTGGACAAGCAGAGTGGACAGTGAGAGAGAGAGACAGAGGGAAAGGTCTTCCTTTACCGTTGGTTTACCTGCTAAGGGCCGCTGCGGCCGGCGCACTGAGGCTGGAGCACCATGCTGATCCAAAGCCAGGAGCCAGGTGCTTCTCCTGGTCTCCCATGCGGGTGCAGGGCCCAAAGAATTGAGCAATCCTCCACTGCACTACCGGACCAAAGCAGACAGCTGGACTGGAAGAGGAGCAACCGGACCAGAACCTGGTGTGCCGGCGCCACAGGCAGAGGATTAGCCTATTGAGCCGCGGCACCGGCCTGTAGTATGTCTTGAAATCTGGTATTGCAATACCTCTGGTTTTGTTTTGGTTGTATCAGATTGATTCAGCTATTCGAAGTCTAAATTTTTTTTAAATTTTTTTCTAAATCTGAGAAGAATGTCTTTGATATTTTGATTGGTATCACAATGAATCTGTAAATTGCTTTTGGAAGAGTGAACATTTTGATGATATTGATTCTTTCAATCCATGAACATGGATTTTTTCATTTTTTTGTATCTTCTATGTCTTTCTTTAATGTTTTGTTAATTCTTATCATAGAGATCTTTGACATCCCTGGTTAAAATTTATTCCAAAGTATTTGATTTTTGGGGGGTAGCTATTGTGAATGGGATTGATCTTAGAGATTTTTTTCTCAGCTGTGGCATTGTCTCTGTATACAAAGGCTGTAGATTTTTGTGTATTGATTTTCTATCCTGCTACTTTACCAAACTCTTCTATGAGTTCTAATATTCTCTTCGTGGAATCTTTTGGATCCCCTATATACAGAATATGTCATCTGCAAATAGGGACAGTTTGACTTCCTCTTTCCCAATTTGAATCCCTTTGATTTCTTTTTCTTATCTAATGGCTCTGGCTAAAACTTCCAGGACTAAATTGAATAGCAATGGCAAGAGTAGACATCCTTGTCTAATTCCAGATCTCAGTGGGAATGCCTCCAACTTTTCCCCATTCAATAGGACGCTGGCCCTGGGTTAGTCATAAATTGCCTTGATTGTCTTGAGGAATGTTCCTTCTATACCCAATATGCTTAGAGCTTTCATCATGAAAGGTTGCTGTATTTTATCAAATGCTTTCTCTGCATCTATTGAGATAATCATATGGTTTTTGTTCTTCAGTTTGTTAATATGACGTTTCACATTTATTGATTTGAGCCACCTTTACATACCAGGGATAAATGCTACTTGGTCCTGGTGAATGATCCTTCTGATGTGTTGTTGGATTTTGATTGGTTTGTATTTTGTTGAGGATTTTTGCATCTATGTTCATCAGGGAAATTGGTCTGTAGTTCTCTTCCTCTGTTGCATCTTTTCTGAGTCTAGGAATTAAGATGATGCTGGCTTCATAGAAAGAATTTGGGAGTATTCTCTCCCTTTCAATTGTTTTGAATAACTTGAGAAGTGGAGTTGAGTTAGTTCTTCTTTAAATGTCTGGTAGAATTCAGCAATGAAGGTATCTAATCCTGGACTTGACTTTATTGGGAGGGTCTTTAATACTGATTCAATTTCCACCTTGGTTGTGGGTCTGTTTAGGTTTTCTATGTCTTCATGGCTTAATTTAGGTAGGTTGTATGCGCCCAGGAATCTATCCGTTTCTTCTAGGTTTCCTGATTAGTTGGCATACAATTCCGTGTAGTAACTGCTGATGATTCTTTTTATTTCTGTGGTGCCTATTGTTACATTTCCTTTTTCATCTCTAATATTATTGATTTGAGTCTTCTCTCTCCTTTTTTTTTTTTGGGGGGGGGGGTCTGGTTGATCGTCATTGCTGAAAGTAGAGTATTGAAATCCCCCATTATGACTGTATTTGATTCTATATCTCCCTTTAAATCCCTTAGCATTTCTTTTAAATAGCCATGTGCCCTGTATTTAGCTCATATATATTTATAGTAGTCACATTTTCTTTTGAATTGATCCCTTGATCATTATATAGTGCCCTTGTATGTCTCTTTTAACAGTTACTGTGTTAAAATCTTTTTGGTCTGGTATTAGGATGGCTATACCAACTCTTTTTTAGTTTCTGTTACCATGGAATATCTTTTTCTGTCCTTTTACTTTGTTTTTAATTCATCTTTCTTAGTAAGATGTGGTTCTTGTAGGCAGCAAATAGATGGGTTTTGTTTTTTAATCAGTCTGTGTCTTTTCACTGGAGAGTTAAGATCATTTACATTCAAGGTGACTATTGAAAAAAAAAAAAGGCCGGCACCGCGGCTCACTAGGCTAATCCTCCACCTTGCAGCGCCAGCACATTGGGTTCTAGTTCCGGTTGGGGCACTGGATTCTGTCCCGGTTGCCCCTCTTCCAGGCCAGCTCTCTGCTGTGGCCAGGGAGTGCAGTGGAGGATGGCCCAAGTGCTTGGGCCCTGCATTCCATGGGAGACCAGGGTAAGTACATGGCTCCTGCCATCGGATCAGCACGGTGTGCCGGCTGCGGCGGCCATTGGAGGGTAAACCAACGGCAAAGGAAGACCTTTCTGTCTCTCTCTCTCACTGTCCACTCTGCCTGTCAAAAAATAAAATAAAATAAAATAAATAAAAAAATAAACAAGGTGACTATTGATAAGTAACAACTTTGCCTTGCCATTTTTCCAAAATTTTCCTATTTTTTACTTTGGATTTCCTTTGTACTTTTCCTGAGATATTTCACTAAAAAGGCCTTCTAATCCTTTCTCTCTTTCCACACCTTCAGGAACTCCTAGTACCCATATGTAGGGTCATTTGATAATATCCTGTAGATTACCAACAGTTTTTTTAAACTTTTTTAACTTCTTCTTGTGTTTGGTCTAACTGTAAAATTTTCAGAGATTTGTCTTCTAACCATGATATACTTTCTTCTGCTTCACCAATTCTGTTGTTAAGGCTTTACACTGCAGTTTCATTTGTTCTATTGAATTCTTCATTTCCAAGATTTCATTTTGCTTTCTCTTTAAGATCTCAATTTCATGGAAGAAATTTTCTTTCATGTCATATATGGATTTCATTAGTTTGTGCATTTGTTTCTGATTACTTCTAAGTAATCTTATGATCAATTTTTAGAATTCCATTTCTGGCATTTCTTCAATCTCATCATCTTTAATCAGGTATTGAACTGTTGTATTCTTTTGGGGGTGTCATGTTGTCTTCCTTATTCTTATCTCTTGAATTGGTGTGTTTGTTATTCAGCATTTGTGGAGATTCTCATTGGTTTCTTCTTTGTTTTTCACTGTGGCAGCTTTTATTTTTGGACTATATCTGAGTAGATTAGTGGATTGTCTGCTTTCACAGAATACCTAGAGGTGTGGGTTTGGCCAGAGAGCTCTGTTCAGTGCTCCAGGATGGAGAGCATGTCTGAGGTGACACATCCAGGTTTGGCATGGTAAATCTCCTTTTTTTTTTTTTTTTAATCAGAGGTGAGGCTTCTTCTTGTCTGTTGGCATAGTCTCAGCTTAGCTCCTCTCCTTGAAGGAGACCAGTGCCTGGGGCTAGCCCCAATGAGTATATTATTCATCTGATCTGCCAGAAGGACCACACAAAGGATCTGTCCAGTCTTCAGTGTAAGCTCAGATTCCCCAGCAATATCTCTTGCCAGGTAACCAGGGAGCCCTGATTGTGTGGAGCCTCCCACAGTGACTGTCCAATATCCCAGCCACACCCTGAGTCTTCCATGCAGCCTCAGTGTTTTCACAGTCCCAGCACACAAGCCTCCCACAGTCATGAGCACACAGTCTTCTGTTTGTTTTTCCCACCAGACTCAGGAGTCTCCACTAGGCTGGTTGCTGTGCACAGACACAAGCAGACTCAGCTGTTAAGTATGTCCAAAATGGTGCCTGCTCTCTGTCAGCTTGTTATAGGACACCTTTGCAAGATGATCAGGGAGAGAGAAAACCCCCTTTTGCTTTTTCTCCTCTAGTTTCACAGGTACACTATTCCCCATGAGGTGCCAAGCCAGATTCCCTCTAGGTTCTTCCTATAGCTTTTTTGCCAGTGGCTTGGGATGTTGCAGTCTGTTCTTACCTCACTCTCCAATGCTGATGTGGAGGCTTTCGGTTGCTGGGGTCCACACCCTGCTGCATCCACACCCTCCATGTAGGTCCACTATGTTCATCCAATTTGTGTAGAGTCTCTTTTGCTGTTTTCTCCCTAATTCTTCCCTGAAACAGCACTCTTTCCACTTTTTTAAAACTGTCTTCTCCTAGACTTGAGTAGCAAGCTCCCTCCCTACTCCACCATCTTAATGGGGAGAAATCAGAATAAACATTTTTCTAAAAAAGACAACACTATTAACTCAAATTGAATAATGGGTGATAGGAAGAAGTAAGGGAGGAGGAACTCACAGGGTAATTTTATTGTTCATAGTAGAGAAACTTAAGAAATAAGGAACTACAGGTATTAAAGGTATTTTTATAAAAGTTATCACAACAGCAAAACTATGAGTCTTTCTAAACCTCAGAAAACTTCTGGGGAAAAAATCAAATAAAACAGACCACACAGTAAAATACTTAATAAAAAGACGTAAACACATTCTATACTACATAAAATAACAGAACCAAGAGTAAATACAGTGATCATGCCAAAAATGCAAATGTGCTTAACTTACCTATTAAAAAATATTTTCAAGTTGGTTCTCAGAGCAAAATCAAACTCTATGTAGTATAAAAGAGACATACTGAAAACAAATGATTTTAAATTAAAGGAAAGGCAAAGTTAGACCAGGCAAAAGCAAACAGAAATCAGAAGTCACAATCTCCACACCAAAGCAAAATTCATTACAAAGAGCATTGGAAGAAACAAAGAATTATTGCAGTGCCATAATTCACAATGTATATATAGTTAGTATGGTTGTACATGAGATAATACAGTGGTAATTTTCATAAAGCAGACATTGCAAGAGAAGTAAGGAGAAACATACAGGAACACACTAATAACAAGATACTTGAATAAATATTTTTCAGTCCAAGATGAGCCAGGAAAAGACAATGTATGGGTAACCATTAGGGTATATTTCATAAGCACAGATTTAACTCTATGTTCTGATGGTAGAAACCCTTCTTGGGAAAGACTGAACTTTTTTTATTTTTATTGTTGTTTACTTATTTGAAAAGCAGAGTTATATGTATAAAGAGAGACAGAGGTCTTCCATCTGCTAGTTCATCCCTAGATGACTGCAACAGCCAGAACTGGGTTGATCCGAAGCCAGGAACCAGGAGCTTCTGGGTCTTCCACACAGGTGCAGGGGTCCAAGTACTTGGACCATCTCCTGCTGCTTGCCCAGCCACATAAGCAGGGGACTGGAATGAAAGTGGAATAGCTGGGACTTGAACAGGTATCCACATAGGATGCTAGCATCACAGGTGGTGGTTTATTCTCCACACCACAGCACCAGCCCCTGAAATTTTCTTTAGATGTTATACTAGACCATATTAAAGTTCAATAAATTCCAAAATATAGAAAACATAAAAGCCATTCCACCGAGTTAAATGCCATATTAGGGATGAGTGTTAAGCCACAGCAGATTAAACCACCTCTTATGTGCCCACGTCCCATATCAGAGTGCCTGGAATCAAATTCCTTTTCTCTTTTCCATCCAGCTTCCGGCTGTTAGGCCGGGGAGGCAACAGATGATGGATCAAGTACTTGGTTCCTTCACCCACCCAAAGTCTAAATGGGGAGCAAGTACAGAGGATTCTAGAGGGGAAGATGGCGACATGGAGCTGTGAAGGCAGGTGCTGACACTCAGGAAGTACCGACAAATGTTTACGAGACAGGTAGTGAAGGGTTGATGACGAGGCAGAGAACAAATCCACAGAGGTATAAACACTTATGCATAATAACGTTCCTAGGAAAGAAAACATGCTTTACAAAAGAACTAAAGATTTATTAGCTAAGGTGTAAGGACTGCATTTTGAAACTACACATAACAAAGAAAGCATTTAATGTCAAAAAGAAAATGTTAGAGGAAAACCCACATTACCTGGGAGAATTGCCTGTGGTGAAAATAGATATTCCCTGCATTGAAGTAAGCCAGGGAGTACGCAGGGTTTAGAGAGATTGCTGCTTGGTAGTCTTTCATTGCATTCTGTTTTTGACCCATCAGCTCGTGAATCACACCTCGATTTGTTAAGTATTCTGCTGTAGTATTGATCTGCAATATAATAGTGTGAGTGTTTAGCACTTGGGTATGGTATTTACCTCTGATTTCATGTCTACAAAAGCGAATGTTATGGGAAGCTTGTAATTTTATAGGGCAGGTAAAATCCCATTAGAGCAAATATTTTGTAGGAAGGACTCAATATGAAGTAGGTTCAATGTCAATACTTTGGTTGCAATAAAACAAATAACCTTAGTATTTTCCTCAGTTCCTTTCCTAGGCATAGACACAGGGGAGAAACACTTATCTGTTGAATTACGCTAAGAAAGAAATGAAATGAAATTGAATAGTTAACATGCTTCTTTGTTCTCTGTAATAGCAATTTTTAAAAATCTTAGCATCACATTTATTTTAACTTTGATTTTTTTAAAAGATTTATTTATTTATTTGAAAAGTAGAGATATAGACATAGAAGGGGAGAGAGACACAGAGAGATCTTCCATCTGCTGGCTCACTCCCCAAATAGTCACAGCTGCCAGAGCTGGGCCAGGCCAAAGTCTGGAGTCAAGAGTCTCTTCCAGGTTTCCCACATGGGTGCAGGGGCCAAAAGACCAGGGCCGTCCTTCGTTGCTTTCCCAGGCAGAGAGCTGGATGGGAAGTGGTGCAGCTGGGACTCGAACAAGTGTCCATGTGGGGTGCCGGCAACTGCAGGTGGCAGCTCAACCTATGCCACAGCGCCGGCCCCTGTAGTAGCAATTATCTTTCAGTTCTTTCCTTTTGCTCATTTCAAATATCACACCTATTCAAATCCACAGAAACAAAACCCGAAACTAGAAGAAGGATTTCCATCATTGCACTCAAAATATGAGACTTATTGGCCATCTTGCTAAGGGAAACAACTGGGATTTATACTTTTTATACTGTTCTTTCTGTAGTTTCTTAAAACCTATGAAGAGTATCACTTTATGTTGTATATACATTTTGTATTACAAAGCATGATCTCCCATGAAACTATATTCTGCATTTACTGAGAGGAATCAGTGTTTATCAGGAGTTTGCTTTTAAAATTTTAAATATATTTAATTACAAATTTGGCAAGCCATAATATCTTCTTATCTTAGGAATCACAAAGGAAAAAGACAAACATTATTTTCCCCATAAGTCACTTCAAAAAGTTTAAAAGGTAATTTTTGATCGAATCTATTCATGGGTGGGGTTAATCAATGCCAACAACAGTGTCTTCTAAGTGGATTTTTACCTTTATGGCAACATTAATATCCTGCATTGCAGCAAAATTATTACCCATCTGGAGACAGACCACAGCTCTTCCTTCATATGCTAGGTAGCTCTTTGGATCAACTTCTAGGGCAATGGTGAAGTGGTTCCAAGCTTTCTGGAATTTTCCTTGGGCCTAAAATAATTTTCTGATTACATAAGGTAGGAAATAGTTCATAACAGGACAAATGTTTATGATTCTACTTTCTTACTCAAATAAAACCTTTATTAAGTATATTATATTGTGCTGAATCTAAAGTTTTTTAAACAAGAAAGTACAGGTTGAGGTGAACTTTAATAAGTTCATGGGAAAATGGAATTAAAAGATAATGTCAATTTTCCATGAATTTTTTGAGACCTTCTTATAAATTATACAGTTAATATACCCAATTACCTAATTACTTCTGAATATTTATGATGCAGTTTTAGCTAATTAGGATAAATGTAACCACATGGTCATCTTGGATAACATAAAATCATGGTCAGCATGGGAAACACCAAACTATATTTCTGACAATGGCCAAAAAATTTACAATGAGCTCCATACACACAGGCAGGGATTGCATTTATTTTTCTGGGAACTGAATCTCCAGTTACACATAACAAAATAAATATTGCTGAATAAATGAATGAATAAACTAATGATGTAAAATACATTCTGATAAATCACACCAGCAAGTGGAATTTTAGGATATATATGTGTATATATGTATGTGTGTGTGTGTATATATATATATGAGTGTGTGTGTATATATATATGTTTGTGTATATATATATATATATTCCATAGAAGACATAAATCTACCAAGTATCTGTATATACCAAACTTAGTACCAACTGGAAAAAGACAAAAGGTCAAGAGATGGGCACTGTTAATAGGAGAACGTCAGAGTATTTCCTAGAGACGATGAGCTGGAAGCCTAATACCTCACCCCAGGAAGACCATGATTTAATAAACTCAGCACAATTGAGGATCTGTCCTTTCTTCTTATGGGTTCAAACCCCAACTTCCACAAATCTCAGAAGCTTACTTGCTTTAATGAAGCACAGTTCAGTGACTCTCACACAAAACTAAAAAGAAATATCCCTATTTAGGGAATCAGATCCTGTTTCTTGACGAGCAAATCTTTTCTGTTTAGATAAACCATTTAAAAGTCCACGTTGTCATGATAAGTTCATTGAATAAACAAGGAAGCAGACAAACTGAGGTTATATTATCAGGCTATTAAATTGCAAACAGCCTCACAATAGGATTATATCTGTCATCTGTTCCTGTTTACATCTGTTGTACTCACTTCTATAACCAAAATGCTGGATAAATAGCAAGGGAATCTGTAAGCATTTATTGAACAAATTGTCACTTTCCCCTGGAGAGTATTTTGATGCCCCTACCTCTCCATTTTCAGGCCTTCCTCTACTGATTCAATCCTTTGTACTCATGTGATTTTCTAGCCTTTTTCAACTTACCATATACCCAGTGAGACCTTCCTAAATGCAAGGTTGAAGTCATTTCTCTGATGAATGCTAATCTTTTAACTGGATCTCAAGACCTTCAACTCCAGCCATTGCTGACTTCACACCACTCTCCCCTTTTCCATAAATTCCATCTACATGGGCACTCTTTCTTGAATAACTTTCTTTTTTTTTAATTTATTTTTTTTTTTGACAGGCAGAGTGGACAGTGAGAGAGAGAGAGACAGAGAGAAAGGTCTTCCTTTACTGTGGGTCACCCTCCAATGGCCGCTGCGGCCAGCACACTGCACTGATCCAAAGCCGGGAGCCAGGTGCTTCTCTTGGTCTACTTGGGCCATCCTCCACTGCACTCCCAGGCCACAGCAGAGAGCTGGTCTGGAAGAGGGGCAACCGGGACAGAATGCGGCGCCCCAACTGGGACGAGAACCCGGTGTGCCAGCGCCGCAAGGCGGAGGATTAGCCTAGTGAGCCATGGCGCCAGCCATTGAATAACTTTCTAATGGACAATTCCTTCTGTTGAACACTTACTACATGTTAGCCCCAACTCTTAACACTGACTAATTACTGATCACTTTTAATCTCAATTTAAATGTTGACTTCTCAGAAAATTCTCTCTCACCCTTCAAACAAAGCTAAGTTCACTTGTAACAGTTGCATTAAAACTTATTTTTCCCTCTGTTGCACTTACCATGACTATAATCAAATTATTATTCATGTGATTAATTGTTTGATGTCTGTCTATCCAATCAATAGGTGATAACCTCCATGATAAGAAAAAAGTACAGTGATGCATCAATTTAGCAATGGGAATGCATTCTGGAAGATGTGTCATTAAATGATTTCATCATTGTGTGAGAATACTAGGTCCAATGCTCATCCAGGCTCCCTGTAACTATATGAACCGCTGTTCCCCACTGCTGCCTTTGCTACTAAAACTAAGGGTAAAGGTAAATGCTCATAACCAAAGAAACAGCTCTCATTCCCCTGTCAGTAAAACAACAAATAAATTCTGTCCAAAACACACTTTCAGTGCTTGAGATGCTGTTGTGTAAGATTACCTGTAAATTATAGCCCAAACTAATTCTGGCTTTTGTGTATGCTGGGTTAAAATGCAACGCTGTCGTAAAGTCCTTCTGGGCTTGCTTGTTGGGTTCCTCCTGACCATATTCCATGTAAGAACTTCCCCGTCCAAGGTAAGCATCTAGGAAACGTGGGTTAATTTTAAGAGCCTGGGTAAAGAAATTGACAGCTTCTTCAAACTCTTCAATTCTGAAAACAGATGAAAATACTGGTGAATTGACACTCTCTAGTGACATATACACACATATGACTTTTCCACATACTCTTATTTTTAAATTTTTCATTTTTATTATCCATTGACCTAAACAAGCGTGACAGGTTCTTGGAGATATTGATAAAAGATATTGATAAAAATAAAGAGGAGAAATAAGAGACATCTTCAAAACAGAATGTGATGTGATATTATTCTTGGATTCTTTTTACAAATTCTTTCCTAAAAGTCTGAGTGGTATTCCTAAAGCTACTCATAACAACTATCAATTATCAATACAGATAAATAAATGCTATTATTGATGAAATATACTATTTAAATTAGATAAAAGATAAATTCATTCAGTCAGCCTTCTGTACCCATGAATTCCTCATCCATGGGTAGAAAATATCTGGGAAAAAAATATGTCTGTACTGAACATGCAGAGACTTTCTTCCTGTCATTATTCCCTAAACAAAATACAGCATCCATACTATATTAGGTATTATAACATAGCTAGAGATGATTTAAAGTACACAAGGGTATGAGCATAGGATATATGCACACTATAACATACATATAAGGAACTGGAGCATCTGCAGATTTTCATACGCATGAGGGTGGGGTGGCCCTGGAACCACAGACCGATGGCTCCTGAGGAACACCTATATTTAATATTTCCTTACACAACACAGGCAGAAGAATGACACTAGATCTCTGGCTTTCACAATATACAGAAGTCAATTCAGCATGGATCCAAGACCTGAGTGTTAGAAGCCTCTGCACAGCGAAGGAAATGATCAGTAGAATGAAGAGATAACCTGGGGCCTGGGAGAAAAAATCTGCCAACTGTTCCTCCAACAGAGGAGTGATATGCAGAATATATACACAAGTTCAACACCAAAACCACAAATAATCCAATTTAAAAATAGGCAAATGATCTGAGCAGATAATGCTCAAAATAAGACACACACATGGCCAAGAACTACATGAATAAATGTTCAATATCAATAACACCAAGAAAATGCAAATCAAAACCACAGCGAGATATAATCTCACCCCAGCTGGAATGGCTATTGTCAAAACAACAACCAAAAAAGCGACAAACGCTGGCAAGAATGTGGAGCACGGGGGACTCTTACACTATGTTCATGGATATAAACTAGTACAGTCCACAGAAAACAGCATGGAGCTTCCTCAGAAGCAAAATACAACTGCCATGTAATTCAACTTTCCCACTACCAGGCTAGTCAAAGGTAACTGAGTTATTATATCCAAGAGCTGCACTGCCATGTCTATTGCTGCCTTACAGTGGCAAAGATTTCACTGGTGCAGTGTATGTACACAATGGAATATCATTTGGTCTTAAGAAAGAATCAATTCTTCTCATTAGCGGCAACATAGACAGAACTGGAGGATGTCATGTTAAGTGAAATAAGCCAGTCACAGAAAGACAAATACTGCATGTTCTCACTCATTTGTGGAAGCTAAAAATATAAATCTCATAGAAAAGAGGGGCATACGAGGCCCGAGACACTAGGAATGGTATGAGGGAGAGGCACAGAGAGTGGTTGGATAATGAGTACCAACACATACTTAGCTCAGAGAAATGAGTTGTGGATTCTTACAGCAAAGTATCGTAGCTGTAGTCCACAAGAATGTATGATATACCTAAAAATAAATAGAAGACAAGAATCCAAATGGCCAACAAACACATGAAAAAATGTTCAGGATCACTAGCAATCAGGGAAATGCAAATCAAAACCACAATGAGGTTTCACCTCACCCCAGTTAGAATGGCTCACATTCAAGAGTCTGAAGATTTCTAACACAGAGAATTAATAAACAATTGGAACAATGAGATTGCAAATTACAATATTATATATTATCTACATGTATTGAATTATCATACTGTACCTCATAAATACATGAATAGATTATGTGACAACAAAATGAAAATAAGCAGAAAACCAAACCTCACAGATCATATACACAAAAATAAAATACAGATCCCCCAAAGAATTTGGGGCATTATATAGCAAGTTTCCCAAATGTGTCATACCAATACTAAAAAGTTAAAATTATAAAAGGGAATCATTTTAAAAGAGAACGAAGAATTTTTAATGTATTTCCTTATACAATTAAAGAAACAAAATTCTCATCACATGAGAGTCTTTCCTTTAGATCTTCTATAAAAGCAGCCCAGTTCACTGTGGATATAAGGAATGGAAGGGAGAGAAAAAAAACACATTTTAAAGTGTATTTATTTATTTGAAAGTCAGAGTTACAGAAAGAAGAGACACAGAGAGAGAGAGAGATTCCATCAGCTGGTTTACTCCTCAAATGACTACAATGGCCAGAGCTGAGCTGGTCAGAAGCCAGGAGCCAGGAGCTTTTTCTAGGTCACCCATGTCGGTGCAGGGGCCCAATGATTTGGGCCATCTTCTACAGCTTTCCCAGCCATTAACAGGGAAATGAATTGGAAGCGGAGCAGCAAAGACTCAAACTGGCATACATATGCGATGCGGGCACTACAGATGGTGACTGAATCCACTGCACCAAGGTGCTGGCACCAGAGAAAATGCATTTTATATTAACTGTGGATGTATGTGGCTAAATAACTCTTCTCCCTAATTACTTTTTTGTGGTGAGGGTGAGATCCATTAAAGAAATCATATATTTGCTCCTTGGCATATGAAGTTATTTCTCATGTTCACATGCATATCTACGAACATAGAAAGACTCTAGGCTTTTGTAAAATATTTTTAGTAGAAGGAGGGAACTAACCTCCAGTAACTGCTTATTTATGAAGTACTCTGCTAAACGCTTTCATCCTTCCAACAACTGTAAGCTAATCATAATTATATTTTACAGATTAAAGAAAAATCACACCTCAAAAAGTCTGCACACAGGAAATGGCAAAGAAAACAGTGTGCTGATTTCGCACAAATACCTGAGATTCAAACTAAGGTAAGCCTTAATCTAATATATTCCTGCTCTACCAAAATCCATGCCTACCACACATTCAGCACCTGTGATACACCTGTCGTTGGTGCAAAGGAGCCCCTGAGCTAACATTTCAACAGTGTAGTCAGGAGAAAGGCCTACACATGCAAATTAATACTACTTTAAAAAATATCAACTTTCAAGATTGTTTTGAGAGTGGTAAGATCATGTGAAGCGCACCTAGCACACAGATCCCCACCCAATAAAGACTATTACCTTCCTTTCATTGTTTTCATTACTTCCTAAGCATGTTTCAAAAACTAATAGACATATCACTATTTTTCCCATGTTGCTTCCTAGAATACATGGAAGCCAGAACAACTATCCTGGAATTGATCATCTCATAAATGTTACTCCAGAGTGTCTCTCTCTCTCTCTTTTTTTTAAATATTTTATTTATTCATTTGAGAGGTAGAGTTACAGGAGAGGGAGAGACAGAGAGAGAGGTCTTCCATCTGCTGGTTCACTCCCCAAATGACTGCAAAGGCCGGAGCTGAGCTGATCCGAAGCCGGGAGCCAGGAGCTTCTTTTGGTTCTCCCACACGAGCACATGAGCCCAAGCACTTGGGCCATCTTTCACTGCCTTCCCAGGCCATAGCAGAGAGTTGGATCAGAACAGGAGCAGCCAGGACATGAACCAGAGCCATAGATGGGGGCCTAGCCCACTATGCCATACCACTGGCCCCTCCAGAGTGTCTCCTCAAATACTTCCCTAGACTTCAGTCCTTCTCTCATGAAATAGCCCTATGTTCTACCTGCACTATCATCTACTGAATAGTTTCCTTCAGGTCAATTCATTTTGCATTTAACTAAGTTTATTTTAAGAGATAATTTCAAGGGCCGGTGCTGTGGCTCACTTGGCTAATCCTCCACCTGTGGTGCCCACATCCCATATAGGCACTGGGTTCTCATCCTGGTTGCTCCTCTTCCAGTCCAGTTCTCTGCTGTGGCCCTGGAAAGCAGTGGAGGATGGACAGGTGCTTGAGCCCCTGCACCCAAATGGGAGACCAAGAGGAAGCGCCTGGCACCCAGCTTAAGATCGGCGTAGCTCCGGCTGTAGCGGCCATTTGGGGGGTGAACCAATGGAAGGAAGACCTTTCTCTTTGTCTCTCTCTCTCACTGTCTATAACTCTACCTGAAATAAATTTTTTAAAAAAAGATAATTTCAAATTACAAGCCAAAAAATCAATATTTCATATCAAAAATAGAAGATATCCCTATAAATAAGCAACCACAGCTGAATATTGTGGCCTACCAGAAACTAAACCCAAAATCTGCATCAGCTGTTACAAAGAGTTAGAAGTTGTTAAGGACTATCTCTCTCATGTGTTCAGGAGGATTAAGAAAAAGTTCATTTTGAAACTGAAAAGTGATCCAGTTTCTCACCGAATGATTCAGTAAGTTAAAAGAGAAAATCACAACACATCCAGTTGGTGCAGATCTTGACTGGCTTTATTCACGATTATAGAATAGGGCAGCAGTAGAAACCAAAAATGGTTCAGAATGCTTCACTGTATAACAGGTTACCTTTATAGCCAGAGAAGTGACTTCCAGAAAATGGAAAAGAGGTAGAGCTAGCTCAATTAGTTATATCACACATCTCTTATCTGAATATGGTTTAAACACTTTGGTCAGTGATTGGCTGAACTCAGCTACTGGTTACAAGAGTAAGCTACAATCTACTTACATATCAAGTGAGTTTACAGTTTGCCACATACAGTGGAAACTTTGAGTTTGGTAAAAATTGAGAGGTTGATCAAAACTTTGGGTTTTGATATCCTCTCTGTCATGCTTGTAAAGACAGAATTAATGTCACTGGGAAATAACAGAGGAGCAGGTTTTGTAAGGTAGAAACAAGGAAACAGAACAGAGAAAGCCCTTCTTGGTTAATGTCAGGTTACTTTAGGCAACTCTGAGGGTGAGAGTCAATCCAGAGGGGACTTCCTTGTTAGGTTGCTTCAGTTAGAATGGGAGCTCCTCTTTTTAGGGGATACAAACTGGTCTATTTAGTGATCTGTCTGCTTCCTTCAAATTTCACTTTGATGATGTGGTATTTGGCATAAAGCAACTCCATTTTGGCTTGATCTGGTCTGTTGGGTTAGTGTGGGAACTCAGTCCAGAACAATGGCCTCATATAATTTTGTTGTAACAAGTATTAATAGGTGAAAAGTAACTGAACTATTCAGGATTCTTCTTGATGTTTTCACAAGTACATCCCAAGTTGTGCATCAAGCATTCTGCTAGAAGAGTAACACAAGATCAACAGTAAAGCACCAGAAAACCTTGGCTTCTGATGTTATAGACAAGCAAAGGTCAATAATCGTGAACGTGATCCAGCTGGTATCACCTGAGCTTCCTCTGTGACTAGTTAGAAGACACAGGATCACTCCCCTTAAGACGTCTACAGTGAAACTAGGCTCTTTCTCAATAACCGACACCCACTTGAGAAGTCAGTCTGTTCAGCATAGGGTCACAATGTCTTTCTAAGTGCCTTCTAGCTGTATTAATGCGATAATTCTAAACATAGCAAAACAAATTCTTTATCAAGAATAATCAGACCACAATGATTTTGCATAAAATGAGCTTAGTGGATTGGTTTTGCTGTGTTCAGTGTTTCTAGCTATGGGTAGTGAAGGTTTAGTTATCATGCATACTTTCATTGACTATGTAAACTGAAATTGCCAGGACAATTCATGTTTCCCCAGATTTTCCACATAAATCAGAGAAATGCTTCTGGTATACTGAGTTCTAACTTGCATCATACACACTGCTCCTATTAGAGGGAAATTAAAACACTTTTCTGAGTACATATTCTGTCTCATGGCTTATAAATATAAATTCTCACTTTGTACAGCCTAACCAACTACAAAAAAAAAAAAAAATGAGGCAGTGAATGGAAGCACACCACCACCATGTAGTATAAACTATCAAAAGGCAGTGATTGAGAGGCTGGCACTGTGGCGCAGTAGGTTAATCCTCTGCCTGCAGCTCCTGTATCCTATATGGGCACCGGTTCTAGTCCTGGCTGTTCCTCTTCTGAACCAGCTCTCTGATGTGGCCTTGGAGAGCAGTAAAAGATGGTCCAAGCATTTGGGCCCTTGCAACCGTGTTGGAGACCTGAGGAAGATCCTGGTTCCTGGCTTTGGATTGACTCAGCTCCAGCTGTTGCAGCCATTTGGGGAGTGAACCAGTAGATGGAAGACCTTTGTCTCTCTCTCTCTCTCTCACTGTCTGTAACTCAACCTCTCAAATAAATAAATAAGAATCTTAAAAAAAAAAAAAGGCAGTGATTGAATTTATTTCCATTTACCTATCTATTAAATAGAACAGTACCATTTAATGAGCATCTAGACTGTTTGCTAAGCAAATAATTATTAAACTTAAAGCTGGAAGGGACCTTCGAAGCCACCTAGTACACTTCTTAATGCTGATAATGACTAAAATCAAGTCCAGAGGAGACAACAGTGCTGAAGATAGAAACTTCCCAGCCTTCTGCACCAATAGACAAGGAGAAAACAAAACAGATGCTGCTGTGGAAACATCTATTTCATTTTTCTGAACATGTGTCTACCATGATGTCCTATAGATTGATGCTCTTATGAAGTCAGGACATAACAGTTAGCTAGTGGGAAAATGGGGCTGAATATGTTAACAGCATTCAGATAGAAATGGTTAACACATCACTTGCCACAAATGAGGTTAAAAAAAAAAAAAGACATGTCTGTATAAAGCTCAAGTGATGTGACCACTTGCTGAAGGTGCATGATTCTCTTACAGTACTGCTTACAATGGGTCCTGTGCTGAGCTTGCCTGGTTGGCCACACACACAAAAGCCCACGGCATTCTCCACATTCATCACATATGTGGCCAGATGTGCCCTACTGAGTTGTACAAATAAATCACAAATACCTCCCCAAACTCAGCAATGTGGCTTGCAGAATTAAGTATTTTAAAAATATCTTATGCAAATATAAGAATAGTAAATGTGCTGAAGTGAAAAGTGGGTAGGACATATCCCTCTGTGATGTTATTTTTAAAAATATGAAGGTGGCTCTCTCAAGGAGACCTAAAAATTAACTCTACCATAACACTCTTGGTGACTAAATTGGGCAACAAGTAGAATATTCAGCCCAAGGAATGTTGTCTCCTAGCAACCACAGGAGTGAGAACCAGAGATACACAAAGACTACTTCAAAAGCCTGTAACCCCACGAGTTCAAAGATCAAAGCCCTAAAATTTAAAGATTTATTCCTTTTTAAAATTTTCCAAACAAGAACATTTACTTTCCTCATTAAAAGACAGCAAAAGTGAATCCCCACAATCACAAACCATGCTGCTGTGGCATAAATAGGCTATAGCTCACCTTGGAAAACAAAGGCATTTTTTTCAGAAATAAATATAACTAATCACTAACCATCCTTATTGTGAAATTCAGTAAAATGTTAAAACTAAAATGTGTGCAACACGGACTTTGAGTTTTCAGGGCTTTATTGTTGATTTAGACTCTACTTTTATTAAAGAACAATGGAGATCTGGTCGGGTGATGAAAGTTGGTTATTTGGAATTGCAAAGCAGTACCAGCTTAAGGAGGCTCTGCTGTATATACCCAGTGATTACATTTCATAAAAGAGATTGTGAACCGACACACAGAGAAACGTAGTTACTCTAATAGTCACTAAACATGGCAGGGAGGTTGAGAGAAATTTTGGAGTCTTTAGTGTTCACAGAACACAACAACCTCAGACATTTTTGGTCGGCAGTCACCCACCAAAACAAATGCATCAGTTGTTGTTGTTCTGTTTCTTCTTGGGAACGATAATTACTAAAAAAAGATGCACTGTACAAAAGTCGCTGGACCAAAACAGAAAATGGTGCAACTCTGTTTTGCTATCTGTATCAAATGAAAGGTGCAAGACCGGCATAGGCCTTTTAATACAAAGGCATCTTCAGAAGTTCCAGTTATTCTGGCACTTTGCTCATGAAATGAAAAACATCTAACTCTCAAAGGAAAATGTAGCTTACTATCTATATCTTTAAGGGGAAAAGAAGCATGCCAGTTTCCTGCATAATTCAAGCTATGTTCTGTTCTCTAACCTGGGTATTTACATAGTCTAGTCTACATAATCTATGAATTCTCCTAATTTCCTCCTCGAAATTAACTGCTATTGTTTCTTATAAAAAAAAACGATCAACTATTTCTCAAAAAGATGGTAGCCTGTGTTTAAAATGCTCACATGCTGAATCTCTAGCCTTTAAAAGCAAAATGACCAAAAACAAATTTATAGATGTCAAATGTATTAAGGTTAGCAATATCTATAGACTATAATTTATCTAAGTGTAGTTTAAACTGGACATCTTCTGTACTTTAGCCTTCTGTAATTGTTCTCTCCTTCTATAACTTATTCTTCTAGTAATCTCATAAACAGGTAATAATTGTTTCTATATTATATTTTATGTAGGCTGTATTGTATTTTGTAGATATTTGATTATATTGTTTTAGTCTTAAGATTTATAATTATGGTTTTTTAATGTAGAATTTTCTGGAAAATATACACCTCTCTTTCAGAAAATGGGCTTTATAAAAGCCTCATTTTATGAACAAAACAAATTGTCTTATGCTCAGATATTTCAAGCAATGCATAATTTTATTATATATATCACCAGGATCCCTTCCTAGTGTGTGGGCTTAAATCACAGGGATACTCCCAACACTAGGATGTAGGTATTTACTTACTAACTTGGCTAAAATAATTAATGAGAAGACAAAAGGATGAGGGCACAGGTGTGGTTCCCAATGTCTATACAGGAGATTTTCTTCATCTCTCCCCATTTTTGTAATCTGTCACCTCCCCGACCTTTCCCCCAGTTTCTTCTCTTCCTTCCTGGCTTGTTGATGGGATTATAATTAGACACTTGATGGCCCCACTGGCTTGTACTTTGTCAGCTGTACTCTGTACCTGTGGTGGCATACGGCAGCAGCTTGACAAAGACTCACATTATTCTGTGTCATCAGTACAGCTTGCTTAAAATCCTGAAATGACAGCAGAAGTTTGTTAATTTTGTAATATTACCTTATGTGCTTTCTTAAACTTCCTTCTAACAGTGATTTCACTACGAATGTTCATAACATAAGCACTAAAATATACATCTCCCTGACATTTCATTTTTCCCTTATCAGATCACATCTAGAGAAAACTGACAGAGCACAGTAACCCCAGGACTGTGAACTCACTCTAAGTTTCGTGCTACTGGTCTCCACTTGAAGAATAGGGACTTTTCCTGTGAGGCCCTGCTATGTGCCATGAAGTATCTTGTTTATTTTACATTTTTTTTAATTTTTATTCCCAATGAACACAACCAGAGACTTCTTGACTGAGAAGGAAATTCTCTCGCAGAGAACCTTGGGAGTGACGTGACTACAGGACCAACAGGCACCCAGGCTAGGGAAAGAGCCTGACTCGATCTTTTGTATGGATTGCCTCAAGCAGCTCTACACTTCTGGAGGGAAGGGCATCGTTTTGTACAGGGATCTGAGAGCCCACCTGGAAGGGAAGATTAGAAATTCTAACCCTAAGAGCTGAAGTTAGGGAAGTCAGCTGGGATGGATCTGAATGGCCCCAGGAAAGAAGCTTTTTAATTAAAAATGCCAAGTCAGAGGCCTGAGCTGTGGCTTAGTAGGCTGGACCTGGGCCTGCGATGACAGCTTCCCATGTGGGCACCCATTCGTGTCCCAGCTGCTCCTCTTCTGATCTAGTTCTCTGCTTAAGACCTGGGAAAGCAGCGGAAGATGCCCTAAGCGCTTTGGCTCCTGCACACATGTGGGAGACCCAGAAGAAGCTCCTGGCTCCTGGTTTCAGATCAGCTTAGCTCCAGCCTTTGCAGTCATTTGGGGAGAGAACCAGTGGGTGGAAGACGTTTCTCTCTGTCTCTCCCTCTGTCTTCTATAACTCTGCCTCTCAAATAAATAAATACATCTTTAAAAAATTTAAAAAGTGCTAAGTCTGTAAGACATCCTACAACTAGGGTCCAGGATACTCCATTTTTTAGGTACCAGAGACCATGGCTGATGCTTACAAGAATTTTAAAGCCCTACAAAAATATCTGAGGCAAGAAGCAAAACAAGAATATCATGCAACTTAAAAAATATTTAAATAAATATCTACAAATCAAAATATCCTGCCAACTGCAATGCATTAGATGGATTTTAGTGTTTGCTATAAAGTGAGAAAAAGCCTTCATAAAGCAACAGCCAAGAACTGATCAAGAAATAAAAATGGCCCTGCTTTTTCCCAGAGGACTGCTTCATCAGAAATCTCCATGGGCGGTTTTAGTTTAACCTCACTGAACCAAGCTAAGCGGGGGTTGGGGGGAATATGGCAAACTCCTGTGGAGCCACAAAAGAAATACTCTCCTGTCTCCCTTCCTAGAGGCAAATTACCTGGCACTCCCCAGTCCCAAAGAGAGGAGCCTATCATAATCACCAGACTCTCACTCCCTCCCTCATCTTCCTCCTTCCACGACCCTCCCTGGTTGTATCAGAGGGCAGAGGCCGGTTACCCTTGCAGAGGCGCGGAGGTGGGGTGTAGGATGAGTTTTCTGTTATTATTGGGGGTGTACAGGAGGAGTAGTCAGGTCAAGTTGAGCATTTAGGGAAAAATTCAGGAAAATTTTTAGTCTCACATCAATCTGTAAATGTGGACTTTCCACTTAGACTTATGAACTATATTTGGATACTAAATGGAACTAGTTGAAAGGCATTAAGAAAGGTATTGTCTAGACAAATACATGCCAATCCAACATGCTGCCCAGGGATCAGGATTTTTAGCTCACGTACAGGCAAACTTACAAATGCAAGAGAGGTGTATTTCAAACATTCCACTAATATGGAAGTTCTGAGGGATGACCATGCAGCTTAAAAAGCTGAAAATAAGGCCGGCGCCGCGGCTCACTAGGCTAATCGTCCGCCTAGCGGCACCGGCACACCGGGTTCTAGTCCCGGTTGGGGCGCCGGATTCTGTCCCGGTTGCCCCTCTTCCAGGCCAGCTCTCTGCTGTGGCCAGGGAGTGCAGTGGAGGATGGCCCAGGTGCTTGGGCCCTGCACCCCATGGGAGACCAGGAAAAGCACCTGGCTCCTGGCTCCTGCCATCGGATCAGCGCGGTGCGCTGGCCTCAGCGCACCGGCCGCGTCGGCCATTGGAGGGTGAACCAACGGCAAAGGAAGACCTTTCTCTGTGTCTCTCTCTCTCACTGTCCACTCTGCCTGTCAAAAAAAAAAAAAAAGCTGTGTCGCTCCCCCTCTTCGTGGAGGAACGACACAGGACCCTGCGCTGTTCTTTCGTCTGCTCGGCCCTCCCCGGGTTTGCTGCTGGTTCTTCCCGGGTTGGCTACTATCCCTTCCACCTCCGTGGAAGGGCAGTTCCCCCTGGCCGCATTCCCCACTTCCGCAGGGGAGCGGCACACCGCCGGCCGGCTTTCTGGGGGGCTGCACGGGTGTTCCTTCAGCTAGATGTTCCCCTTAGATGTTCCTGGTGCATGCCGTCTCTCTCCTCCTTTATAGTCCTCCTCCGCCAATCCTAACTCGGCTGCCCACACGCCGAGTACGCTGCTCTCCTCCAATCAGGAGCAAGTCCTACAGTTTATTAGTTGAACTGGAGGCAGCTGTGCGGAAGCTGTTTACTTCTCTCCCAGCGCCATATTGTGGGAGAGCAGATGCATAGAATAAGTCTTAATTCCAGTAACTCAGTCCAGTCCGGTTTGCTCCCCACAGATCCCCCTTTCTTTTTATTTTTTGGCGTTGATACGCGCCTGTCTTCGGTGTCCCGCGGCACACACTCTGCTCTACTTGCTAGAGTTGCCACAGGCTCTTACAAGTCCTATCAATCAGGCAAACCGAATCCAGGTCCTCTCTTCGCCATGTTGTGAGGTTTTTAGGCGCTGATGCGTGCCTGTGTTCGGTGCCCTGCAGCGCATGCTCTGCTCTGCCCGCAGGGGCTTACAAGCTCTATCAGGCAAACCGAATCCAAGCCTTCTCATTGCCTTTTTGTGGGGAGGCCTTACTGATGTTAATTCGTGCCTGTCTTCGGTGACCTGCGGCGCATAAGCTGCTAGCCGCCGCAGGTGCTCATCGTGCTCATCGCCTCACTTAATCAGGCAGACCGAATCCAAGCTTTCTCATTGCCATGTTGAGGGGAGGCCTTATTTTTCTCTATTTCTCTATCTCTGGGCATTCCCACTTCTCCCATTTTACTTCTATCTCCCAGCATTCTTATTTCTCTCATTTTATTTCTAAACTTCTATTTCTCTTATCCCTGCAGCTTCCCGGCGCCTCGCCCTGCCGGCAGCTCCGCCCCGAGGCTGCTTCTCGGCGCCCCGCCGGCTCTGAGCCGCTTCAGCCCGCGCCCCTCTCATCTGCGCTGCTTCCCGGCTTTGCGCGGCTTGGCTTCGCGCACTCCGCGGTCTCCACGCCCTTCGCGTCTGCACCACGGCCTCGCGCCAGCCCCGTTCCCTATCTATTCACGCCCCGTGCTCTCTCTGCACGCGGCGGCTTCCGCGAGTAACACAGCGTAGCTTACGTGTCCGCCACTAGCATTCAATCTAAGTTCCCCGGGCTAGCCTGGCGAATTCAACCCAGCATACGTCTCCGCCCCACGGTTTGGCTTCCCGTCCTTTGCTCCCCGGGCTAATCAGACGGATCCCAACCTGGCTCACGTTTCAGCTTCTGGTTTCAACTTTTCGCCCCCTATTCCCGGGCTAACTTGAGAACCCCAAAGTGGCTTTCGTTTCAGCCTCGGCCTGCCCCCCGCGGCTTCAATTTCCCTAACACTTTTCTCTACCCGGTATGTTTCCCTAAGTTTTCTTCCAACAATATTCCTCCCTCATTTCTCCTGGCCTCTCCCCACAGTCCGCATCCGAGTCTGTTTGTTCTAGCTTTCACTTTCGCTTTCGACCTTAGAGATTTCTCCCAGCTTCCCCCGTAGTCCGTATCCGAATCTATGCCTAGGCTTTCAATAGCTTCTTCCGGCACCTTTTTCGTCCGGCTTTTCCCTAGGCTGTTTGCTAGTCTCTCTCTCCAGTAATTTCCCAGTTCTTCCCATTTCTTCCCTCCTAAGTTTCCTATCCGTCCTAAGTTTCCTATCCGAGTCACGGCACCATTATGTCGCTCCCCCTCTTCGTGGAGGAACGACACAGGACCCTGCGCTGTTCTTTCGTCTGCTCGGCCCTCCCCGGGTTTGCTGCTGGTTCTTCCCGGGTTGGCTACTATCCCTTCCACCTCCGTGGAAGGGCAGTTCCCCCTGGCCGCATTCCCCACTTCCGCAGGGGAGCGGCACACCGCCGGCCGGCTTTCTGGGGGGCTGCACGGGTGTTCCTTCAGCTAGATGTTCCCCTTAGATGTTCCTGGTGCATGCCGTCTCTCTCCTCCTTTATAGTCCTCCTCCGCCAATCCTAACTCGGCTGCCCACACGCCGAGTACGCTGCTCTCCTCCAATCAGGAGCAAGTCCTACAGTTTATTAGTTGAACTGGAGGCAGCTGTGCGGAAGCTGTTTACTTCTCTCCCAGCGCCATATTGTGGGAGAGCAGATGCATAGAATAAGTCTTAATTCCAGTAACTCAGTCCAGTCCGGTTTGCTCCCCACAAGCTGAAAATATCAGATTTAGTTTTGTGATCAGACAAACTTACCTTTGTTTTACAGTAACGTCATCATTATTATGCTACATGGTAATCAGCAATGGACATCAATGATGACTATTAGCATTGAAATAAAGTTAGACACTGCTGTTTGTGATTCTTCTCTTCTACATTAATTCTCTTTCTAATATGAGGACCACAGATACCAAAAAGCCACACAAAGTCACTTATGTACAATGAAAATTCCTTCCACTCCTACCCCTCTGTTGACAAGTATTAAAAAAAAAAGTTTTTACTTGTTTATTTATTTGAAAAGAAGAGAAGCTGAGAGACAGACACATGGACACAGAACGTCCATCTGTTGGTTCATTCCTTAAATGCTGGACACAGCAAGGGCAAGGCCAGGCCAAAGCTGGGCGCTCACAACTCAATCCAAGCCTCTCACACGGCGGAGTGGCAGGGACTCAACAACTTGAGTGTGTGTCCGACTGTTCACATTAACAGGAAGCTGGGGATTGGGAGCGCAGCTGAGACTTGAACCCAGGTACTTGAGCACGGGATACGGGAAGAACACGTGGCATCTTAACCGCTGTGCCAAATACCTGCCCCATGGTCCATTTATCTGTAGTGACTTCCACACATGCTTTCTTCCTTCCTGTGTCAGGGGTTGGGTTCTTGAACTCGTTCTTTTCCATCTCCTCAAGAAACCTGTTCAGTTGTGTCTGTACATACATGTCTGTGTGTGTGTGTGTGTGTAAAATTACACCTCAAGTGTGTTTCTTTTTTTAAAGATTTATTTATTTATCTGAAAGTCAGACTTACACAGAGAGAGAGAAGGAGAGGCACAGAGAGAGAGAGAGAGAGGTTTTCCATATGCTGTTTCACTCTCCAATTAGCTGCAATGGCCAAAGCTACCCGAATCTGAAGCCAGGAGCCAGGAGCTTCCTCTGGGTCTTGCCATGTGGGTGCAGTGGACCAAGGACCTGGGCCATCTTTCACTGTTTTCCAAGGCCACAGCAGAGAGCTGGATCAGAAGTGGAGCAGCCAGGTCTCAAACTGGCACCCACATGGGATGCTGGCACTGCAGGCGGCCGCTTTACCTGCTACACCACAGTGCTGGCCCATAAAGTGTGTTTTTTATAACCAAAATACGTTGGATCTTGGGAGTTTTCTAAAATTCCAATGTGACAGTCACATTGTTTTGACTGGTATATTTTGAACATTTCTACCTAAAGTAAAGCTGCTGATATGGTTGGACTTACTAGGTCTGCTATTTTTTATTTTAATTTTATTTATTTTCTGGTGGTAGCCTCTGTTTCTCTCCATTTTCCCTTTCCAGATTATGTTGGATTCTTTTAAAACTTTTTAACATTCCCCTTCAATTTATCTACTTTGTTCATGACTGAGGCGGTCACATTCGAGTTTAAACCTAAAGGAAAGCAGGTCATGAGTCATACACAGATCAGCTGGGAAGAGCTTGTGTAAAGGCCCGGGAAGGGAGGGAGCTGGCATTTCCAAGGAGTAGCAGGAGACCGGAGTGGAGTAACTGGCGTAGAGAACAGAAGACTGTTTGGCCATGAGGTCCAAGCGGTGGGCAGCAAAGAGATCAGGCAGGATCTCGGCTGGTCACATTTTAGAGCTCAGAGTTTATTATAATTGTGATGAGAAGACAGAGGAGGGTTTTCAGCAGAAGAATATCTCAATCTGTTGCATCTTATCTACTGAAAACAGAGGTTCTTGAGCTCTTCCTGCCTCAAAGATGAAGAGATTTCCAGTCTACATAAATACCTAAAAGAACGTGAATGCTGAGATTATATTTCATCACAGTGTAAACTGCACCTACTTTCTCCCTACAAAAGAAGTGATTCTATTGGACAGACTCAAAAGGTGACTCCAGATACAGAAAAACAAGGGGAGTCATCCTTGGAGGTGAAAAGAACAGGAAACACTCCAGTATAGAATGTTACTGTGTAGTTCCTCAGAAACAAAGACACAAAACTGCTACTATTGAACTATATTCCATAAACTTCTATTTAGTGTTTGCTTGTGTTTCTTAACCTTAATTCCAAAGTTACCAAAAAAGTTTAAAATGAGAATTATGAATTGTGTTCCATTATTCTATAATGAAATGTTTCAAACTGTTTCTTTTCAATATATTAAATATACTTTCCTTCTACTACAATTGTTAATGCCTTTTCCCACAAACTGAAGAGCCCATGCTCCCAGTAGCCCATTCAAATTTATTTTGATATATTTTCATTGGGGAAAAAGCAACATTGCAAATGAAAAGGAAAAATTAGTAGTAGAGTAAGTGATGTATAAATCATTTTATTTGCCAAATAATTGAATGCCATGTGTACTCCCATGGGGAAGGAGGATTGCTAGGCTTGATTAAGTCAAACATTGTGGTAAAGATTCTATTAGCCATTCCAACTATTTCAATACAATTCTTGCCAAAGCTATCACTCATTAATATTGCCATTGGGTAGCAATCAGGTTGGTTCACTAGTTTTCAGCAGTGAATGTGCAAAATCAAGCGCATTCATTTCTTATACATCCATAGGAGGCTTACCTCTACTGCAAAGCCATACTGCTCTAGTTCCGCATAGATGCGTCCACGATTAATGAAGGTATTTAACGTTATAGTTTCTCCAGGATCAAGAAGGAGGACAATTCCATAATCTGTCAATGCCTAAAAATAAAATAATCACTTACAACCTAGATGGACCTCTTCAGAGCCTTACTTCATTGGCCAGAGAGAAATGTGTTTATGCTCAAACTAGGACCTCAAAGGCAGTTCTTTAATTTGACTAATAATTTGGGGGCAAGATAATCATGTGTTAGATTTAAAAGGTCCCCTTAGTTAAATATTATGGACATTGCTACTTAAAAAATCTATTTGAGAGGCAGAAAGACAGAAAGAGAGATGAGATGGAGAGACAGACAGACATAGAGTAAGGGAGGCTCCCATCCACTGTTCACTCCCCAAATTCCTACAATATCCAGGAGTGGCCTGGCTGCACACAGGTGCCAGGAGCCCAGTCGAGGTCTCCCATGTGATGGCAGGAATCCAGTCACTTGAGCCATCACTGCTGTCTCCTAGAGTGTGCATTAGCATAAAACTGGACTCAGAGCTATAGGTGGGTACTGAATCCAGGTACTTCAATATGGAACTCTGGCATCTTAACCAACATCTTACCTGCTAGGCCAAACTTCCACCCCGGATATTGCTTACATTTCAGATGTTATTGATGAGCCACTGTGTGTGTATTTTACCTGTGTGTGTGCACGCATTGGAAGGGAAGGACCCAACACTCAACACTCTCCCTGCCTCCACCCCACACACACTGAATTTCAGAAAGTAATGGTTGATGTTAAAGCTATGTGGCTAGGGTATGAGGATGGGAGCACAGAGGTTGATTTAGAGGATGAATCTAGGCCTTGACCTATCCTGGAATGCATCATGCCTCAACTATTAGTACTAGCTTCTCAATTTGGGAAAAGTTATGTAACATTAAAATTCAGCTTCCACATCTACAAAATAGGGATATTAAAAATTTAACATGTTTTTATAAGAGTTATAAGGGAAATAAATATTTGTATTGTAAAGTTCTTACCTAATGCTTGTCAGACAATAAACTAAATAAGTGGTAACTGTTACTGTTTTTATTAATAAGAGTGGTACAAGTAGAACACATCTTCACCTAGTTTTTATGAAACTGTATCTTGGGAGGATGCCTAAGTGTGTTTTCTGCAGAAAGATACTCAGTTTTTCTCAGCCTAGTAATGGCAAGAATGCTGAGAAACAGGTGGAGGTAGACAAAAAGGGAGGAGGTGACATGGTCGAATGATAACCACTGCACATGCTGAGGTCAGATGGTTTTACAAAGCCACATAAGGACTGTTAACCCCAAAGCAAACAAACCTGTGAACAGGGCACAAGTCCCTAGCTCCCAAGGTGACCTGCATGAGATTTCTGACTTCTCCCTTCTTCCTACTTCCAGTTCCTCATCTTTAAACTGAGTGAATTGGATAGAATGTTTTGGGGTCCTGGTAACCAATAAGTTATTATTCAAATTCCATATCCCTTTATTTAGGCACTTTTGTAGTTTCTTTATTAATAGAGTGCTGGCTCCTTCCTACAGCTGAGATAATAAATGAGGGCTTCTCCACTTAGCCCGTTGTATATGGCCTCAAGGTTACCTTGCTGGTGGGATTGTGGCAGGGGCAGTCATCAAAGACATCTGCTAAATAATCCTTTAATTAGCTCCTAAAAATCATAATGATGTCCTTGTTCCCTTGGTAAAAATTCATTTTTCCTTTGTCCACATTTCTGGAGGAAACTTGATGGTCTGGTTACCAGAGAGTTTGTATTCTCTTAGGTGAAAACAATGTTTATCATCTTCTTGCCTGGCCTTCCAGGGCTTGTAAATTTCCATGTTTTAAACAGATTTAACTGTCCAATTATCAAAGGGATCAGGACTGTTTCACTCAGAACAGTGGGGATGGAAGGTCTTTTTTCAAGAAAATTCTTCATTTACTATGGAAGTGGGCAGAAATGAGGAGAGGGAGACAAGCAGATAACAGAGAAAATGAAGCAAGAGACTGGGACTTGACCAAAGAGCTCACACATGAGCTGTTCTCCCATGAAAAATTCTCATGGACAAAGGTCCAAGCTGGCAAGGAGAGAGAAGAGAGGGGTAATATTAGAAAACACAGCTGTGAGTTTGTACTGAGAGGTGACACTATGTCAAGACAAAAAAACGGTTTTGCTGTAGCCAAAGTTAGGCCTTGAAATACACAGGAAAATCCTGGTCACTGGCTCTGCAGAAGTGGAAACCATCACAGTTTTGTTGGCAATCACTCTTTTAAAACTCTGCAGGTGGGGCCAGCACTGTGGTGTAGTGGGTTAAGACTCCTCCTGAGGTGCCAGCATCCTATGTTGAGTATAGGCTCAAGTCCTAGTTGCTCCACTTCCAATCCAGCACCCTGCTAATAGCCTGGGAAAGCAGTAGAAGATGGCCCAAATGCTTGGGTTCCTGCACCCAAATTGGAGACTCGGAAGAAGCTCCTGGTTCCTGGCCTTAAATAAGCCCAGCTCTGGCCGTGGAGGCCATTTGGGGAGTGAACAGTGGATGGAAGACTTCTCTCTCTCTGTCTCTCCCTCTCTCTGTCTGTAATTATTCCTCTCAAACAAATAAGTCTTGAAAAAAAAAAAAAAAAACCTCTGCAGGCAACATATAAGTAGAACATTGACTCAAAGGATTAATCATGTAATATATTTTAATTTATACATGGCTTTAAACGCTCACATAAGCATTGCAAAATTAATTTTCATTTGATCATTGCAGAAATGGCATAAGAGGCCGGCGCCGTGGCTCAATAGGCTAATCCTCCACCTTGCGGCGCCGGCACACCGGGTTCTAGTCCCGGTCAGGGCGCCGGATTCTGTCCCGGTTGCCTCTCTTCCAGGCCAGCTCTCTGCTATGGCCCAGAGAGTGCAGTGGAGAGATGGCCCAGGTGCTTGGACCCTGCACCCCATGAGAGACCAGGAAAAAGCACCTGGCTCCTGGCTCCTGCCATCGAGATCAGCGCGGTGCGCCGGCTGCAGCGGCGGCCATTGGAGGGTGAACCAACGGCAAAAGGAAGACCTTTCTCTCTCTGTCTCTCTCTCTCACTGTCCACTCTGCCTGTCAAAAAAAAAAAAAAAAGAAAGAAAAGAAATGGCATAAGAAAATTTGGTGAGTACAAAGTGTGAAAATTCATTATACAAAATGGACTCATTCCTGTCACACCCCACTAAAACAGAATACAAAGTCATGGAAAAGAAAGGGAAATAAATATTCAGGTCATGGATGCCTGTTTCAATAACAATCTTACAGGATTACTCCAACGAAACAGCCTGTCAGAGTTTTAAGATTATTTTTATGTAGCAATTGAGGATGAAACTGCCAACCAGGACCCTGCGACTAGCCTGTCTGTGCGTAGCCGCTGCTGCTAAAGACCTGAGCTCTCCAGCTCTCACAGGCACTGACAGTCCCAATGGACTTCTACTCAAAATAACTTGCAAAGATTTCGATTTTCTAAAAAAATTCCCCAACAATTTTTTCACTGGACATAGCAGAGGTCACCCCAACCTGTGCAGGGCCATCCAAGATTGCAATCCTTTTCTCTGTTCACTGATGTAAGAGTCATCTCTGTTTTTGTTTGCCTTTGATACAAATCAATTAAATATCCATATTCTTTGAAATAGTACTTTGGATTCTCATTGTGTGTGTGTGTGTTTCCATAGAAGTTACAGTTCAAAATCATAGCAGAAATAAGAAAACATGTTAAACAACCTTTAAATGTATTTACAAACACTTAACATGTTGTTTATCAAATACTATTTATTGACTGCTGAATTCAGCAAACTATTGAATGCATGTTGTTTAACAAATGACTTAAATGTGTTCTTCACTAAATCTTACCGTTTGATTTTCCCCTATCTTGGTATAACATAATGCTCTGTTATAAAATGATACATAATTTCTTTTGTCCATGTTGATAGCCGTAGTTAAATCTCTAATTGCTAGCTTATAACTCTACAAAGGAAAAAAAAAAATAACTGCATGAGAAGGATAACCATGACAGACTGAAATTTACTTGTCACATAAAATATTGATTCTATCAGAGTTTTCAGAATACTCTCACCATGCTTAATTTCATCATCTGTGAAATTAAGACAATCAAACTAATCTTTCGAAGTTAATTAAGAAGATCTCCTGATAAAAATTATTCTTATAACTTTTATCACCTGCGGATAAAATTAAATATATGAACAGCTGATACTGCTATAAGGGCGTAGAAAATTATACTTATTGATACTTATTGATAAGAGGGAGGCAACTCCTATTTATTCAGCAAACATTCACCAGAACTTGCTTACTTTTGTTATTCACACTGTCACTAATCACCCTCGTGTTTTCTGCCTTCATTCTCTTATGCTTCCTCTTTGATTCTTCTCTGATACCTCATATCATTGCTTTCTATAGTAATTATATCATTGCTTTCTATAGTAATTTTCTTGGAATTAAAACATAATGCAAGGTCTTATCTTTGCTGTAAGGTATTCATCACAAAATATTTCATGTGAAAAAGGAAAGCTCAGAAAAGAAAATGGGGAGAAACAAAATATTCCACACAGTGCCAGCTATCAGTGATGCTGTTCCCACTGTTTAACCCAGTGAGGGCTGTTTAGGAACCAATCCCAAATGCAAGCAATGATTTGGCTCTCAGTATATATAACTGTATGACCTAAAATAATAAAAGAATAAAGAAATTTTAAATACTACAAATGTCTGTTAACTGGTTAAAAATAAAGGCAGAATATTATCCAATCATAAAAATATGTTATCTTCAAAGAAATTCTGTAAGTGATGTAAAATGGGATAATGCCCTGTTCCCTTATATATTTTCTAAATTGTCCAGGATGAATACATTCTATTTTCTTATTAAAAATGAATAATTAGTGTTATTTAAAATGTAGATCTCAAAAAATAAATATCACTATTTTATGAAAAAATATGAATTAAAATTCCTTTTGATGCATTGTAAGTAAAGTTTCCTATGTAGTTTGCCCTTCAGATCATAGCAATTGTGGTATCACGAAGGGTAAAGAAGAAAAGGAGCGTCCAGAGACTCTGCTTATTCCAAAATGTCAGTAGGAGGCGGAACCATGATGGCAACTGAGTACGAAGCTCTGGTAGCCACCTCCCCACAGAGACAACAAGGTGAACAGCTACACATGCACCCAATCACCTTCAGAACTACAGAAACCAGGAAGAAACCACAGGACCTCGTCCTACTATAAGAAAACAAGGAGGAACGAGTTGCCTCTGTCATCCCTCCCCAGTTCCAAGAAGCACAGGATGGAGAAGGAGAGCCAACTGAACCCGGCAGCAGGCCCACGGTGAAAAAATTTAACTGGGCTGAGCCCTCTGTCTCCAGTCCCAGGCCCTTACCGTGGAGTGAATATTTGGAACTTCCATAACTAGAGGGCTTCCACCACCCCTCCTCTAACCACCAGCAGAAAGCAAAACTGCAGCCAAAGGGAAAGGCCTGGAGAGGGAGCTCAGGGCAGCAGCTTGGAGCTCAGAGCCTGGCCTACCAAGGAGACTTGGCCACCTGAATAAAAAACCCTAAGGCCTGTACCACCCAGCAAAGCTTTCAAACTGAGCTGCCAGATTTGCTTGCCATTAGGTAGACATCTGTTTGCAGGTGACTCAGGCTCATGTTTCCATAGGCATGGAGGGCACCACCAGGTGTGATCAATCTGGGACCAATCTTTCTTTTTCACCCTCTTCCAATCTTAAGCAGATAATAAGGGGTCAAAGGACAGTGTCTTAGAAATCAGTGGTGGGCTAGTAAAGCCCAATGCTAGGCAGATCCTACTAATTTCTTGAAACAAATGAAAATGGAAACAAAATACATCAAAACCTATGGATTACAGCAAAAGAAGTACTAAAAAGAAAGTTTATAGTGAGGCCAACACTGTGGCATAGAAGGTTAAGCCTCCACCTACAGTGCCGGAATCACATTTGGGCACCAGTTCGAGTTCTGACTGCTCCACCTCCGATCCAGTTCCCTGCTAATGTGCCTGGAAAAGCAGCGGAAGATAGCCCAAATACTTGGGCACCTGTGCCCATGTGGGAAACCCATAAGAAGGTCCTGGCCCCATCCACCCCAGCTGTTGCAGCTATTTGGGGAGTGAACCAGTGAATGGAAAATCAATCTCTCTCTCTCTCCCTCCCCCTTCTCTCTCTGTATCTCAGCCTTTCAAATAAATCAATCTTAAAAAAAGAAAGCTTACAGCAATCAATGCCTACATCAAGAAAAACAATATCTCAAACAACTTATGGCTGTACCTCAAAGAGCTAGAAAAAAAGGAACAAATCAAAATATTTGCAAAATAAAAGAAATATTAAAATTCTGAGCATAAATGCATGACATAAAGATGAAAACACACAAAAAACTAATGAAATGAAGAACTGATTCTTTGAAAAGATACAGAAAAGTGATAAACCCTTAAGACTAATCAAGAAAAATAGAGATGTTTTGAATACATCGAATTAGAGATGAAAATGGAGGCATTACCACTGATATCACAGGAATACAAAGGATTCTTAACTCTATGGCAACAAACTCAATGCAGCAGAAATGGACACTCTCTTGGACACATATGCTTTACCACACTGAATCAAGAGGAAACAGAATACCTTCACAAATACCAAGTAATGAGATTGAATCAGTAATAATACAAGAAAAAAACATTCTCTAAGGATGAGATGGCTTCACTGCTATATTCTACCAAAACTTTTAAGGAGTAATTAATACCAAATTTTCTTAAATTATTTTAAAAAAAAGGAGAAAAAATTCTTCCAAATGAGACCAGCCTGACTAGCCTTATCTTGATATCAAAACCAGACAAGGACAGAACAAATATGGAAAGCTGTAGGCCACTATCCTTGATGAACACAAATGAAAAAATATTCTGTAAAACACTAGCAAACCAAATCCAACAGCACATTAAAAAAATCATTCACCATGATCAAGTAGGATTCATCCGAGGTATGCAATAGAATGAAGGCCAATACCACACGATCACCTCATAGAGATGGAACATGTGTTTGGTAAAACTCAACACCCCTCCATGATTTAAAAAAAAAAAAAAAAACTGACAAAATTAGGGCTAGAAGGAACATGCCACAATGTAATGAAAGCTATGTGTAAAACCAGATATAAAACCAACAGCTAAAGTCATATTGAATGGGAAAAATGGAAAGATTTTAAGATCTGGCCCAAGACAAAGGTGTCCACTTTCACAACTTTTATTCAAAATTGCACTGGAGGTCCTAGCTAGAGCAATTAGACAAGAGAAAGAAATAAAGGGCATCCAAATTGGAAAAGAAGAACTCACTGTTTGCTAATGATATAATCACATATATAAAAGCTCTACTCCACCAGAAAGCTGTGAGAGTTATAAATAAATTCAGCAAAGTTGCAGAATTTATATCAGTGCACAAAAATTGGTAGCATTGTTACACACCAATAGTGAATAATCTAAAAAGAAGTCAAAAAAGCAATCCCATCTCCAATAGCTAAAAACAAAACAAAAGAAAAAAACCTAGGAATAACTTTAAATTTCCTCTACAGGGAAAACAATTATAAAAATGGAAAGACATATCACGTTCATAGATCAGAGGAATCAATATCATTAAGATGTGCATACCACAGATTCAATGCAGTAACTAAAAGAATCCCAGTGATGTTTTTCACAGAACTAGAAAAACCTTACTAAAATATATATGGGTAGCCAAAGCGATCTTGATCAAAAATAACAAAGTGGGAAGCATTCAACTACGGGATTTTAAAACGTATCACAAAACTACAGGAATTAGTAGAGCATAGTATTGGCATAAAAACAGATCTACAGACAATGTAATAGAATAGAGATGACAGAAGTGAAACCATGCTTCTAAAGCCTACTTGGAAAAAGGTTGGTTTGTTTACCTAAACAAGATGTATTTAAGCAGCCAGGAGTGGGGCTCCAAGAGAGGAAGACCCAAAAGTTTGAAAGTGGAATCTTTTAAGCACAATTTTTGGGGAAAAAAAAACAGAACAGCAGCTAACAATCAATCAAAGAATGGGGACAAAACCAATCAAAAGGCTGAAATCAAAAGGCCTAAATTGCTTAAAACAAAAAAGCCATCAGAAGGGTGTGACTGGTAACTTCTCCTTTCTATTCTCATGATAAATTAAAAACTCAGAAGGGTGTGATCACTACTTCCTTGCTATTCTATTCATGATAAAGCTGGAAATTCAGAGTGGGATTGGAATTTCTGTATTCTTAAAGGCAGCTTCTGGGAAGAAGCACACATTTTGTACCTTTTAGTCTGTCTACCTCCTCACATTCCCTCCCCCTCTGAGAAGAATGGACCCTCACTGCTATTAGTGATATGGGGCAGTGGTATGCTCTGGTTGCTTCATGCTGAAAGGGGGTGTCACTGAGGGAGAGCAGAAGAGCATTTTTCTGAGGGTTGATCTAAGGGTCCCTGGTAGAATGCAACTGGAAACCATTATACTTAGTGAAATAAGCCAGTCCCAAAAAGACAGAGCTCATATGTTTTCCCTGATCTGAGGTAACTAATACAGTATCGGAAATGTAATATATTGGAGTGAAACAGACATTTTTGAGATTCGATGATTGTTTATAGCCCTTGTCTCTTCCGCTGAGCAACAGTGTGTTTTTTTTCTTTTCTTTTTTTCTTCATATTATTTGTTGAAATCTTTTACTTAGTGTAGGGTTAACTATATGGTCATTCAGTAAATTGAAAATCTTTGTAAAAATTATGAGTGGGAAATGTGAGAGGGAGGAAGGGATTGGGTTGAAGTGTGGATAGAAGGGAGGGTAGGGGGGAAAATGTCATTATGTTCCTAAATCTGTATATATGAAATACGTGAAACTTGTATAACAAATAAAATTAAAAAAAAAAAACTAAGAACTATTGCACAGCAAAGAAAACAACAAATGAAGAGATAACCTTCAGAATGCAAGAAAATCTCTGCAAGCTATACATGTATCCAAGAGGAGTTAATACCCAGAAAATATAAAGAACTCAACTCAATAGTGAAAAAAACAATGGGCAATAGATCTAAACAGACATTTCTCGAAGGAAGACATACAAATGGCAAACAGATACATGAAAAAAAAAATCCTCAACAAGGAAATGCAAATCAAAACCACAGTGCATTATCACCTCACTCCTCATAAAGATTTGCTACTATCAAAAAGGCCAAAGATAACAAGTTTTGGTGAAGATGTAGAGAAAGGGGAACCCTTTCACACTATTGATTGGAATGTAAATTAGTACACCATTGTGGAAAACAGTATAGCCTTTCCTCAAAAACGGAAAATAGAACTACCATACACAATCCAGCAATCTCCTTAAGGGTATATGTCCAAGGGAAATGAAAATCATCTGTCAAAAAGATATCTGCATTTCCATGTTTATTGCAGCACTATTCCTAATAGGCAGGAATAGACACAACTAGTGCCAATTAACTGATAAATGCATAAAGAAAATGTGGTACATACACACAATGGAATAGCACTCTATCATAAAAAGGATGAAATATTATCATTTGCCAAAACATGGATAAAACTGAGGGTTATTATGTTAAGTGAAATAAGTTAAGCAGAGAAAGACAAATATCACATCATCTCACTCATAGGTGGAGTCTAAATAAGCAGGTGAACTCATAGAAGTTAAAAGTGTAATTGCGGTCCCCAGAGGCTGGGGAGAGAAATAAGTGGGGAAGGAGTGGGAAAGTTTAGCTGATGGGTACTAGGTTATATCTAATTAGAAGTAAGATGTTCTGAGTTCTATTGAACAGTGGAGACGATAATTTACTGTTTATTTTTCTATAAAAAACTAGAAGATAGGATTTTTGTATGTTTTCACTATAAAGAAATGTTACATGCTTGAAAGGATAAATACATTTACCCTGAATGTATATTACATGCAAAAATCATATAGTATGCTATAAATATGTACAATTTTTACATGTCAAATTTCTTAATTAAAATTTAAAATTTCAGTAAACCAGCAGAAAATGCTCCTACCTTATTGTAGTATTTCAGAACTCCTCTGTAGAGATAGGCACGTACATTCTTCTGACAAACTTTGATAGCCTCATTACAGTTCAAGATTGCTTTGGAATACCTGCCTTTTAAACCATAGTAGGCCACTCGGCTTAAATATGCCTTTTCAGAGAAACAGAGTGGAAAACAGAAATAGATGCTTTAGTAAAAGCATCAAATAGACCAAAATATGTGGCACTTAGAAGGGACTTATGCCGAATAAAGTTAAATTAAAATACAGTCTTTTGGGGCTAGCACAGTGCATAGCAGGTTAAGGCACCACCTACAATGCTGGCATTCCATATGGAGTTCTTGTCCATTTTTGATACAGCTCCCTGCTAACACACCTGGGAAACCAGTAGAGGATGGTCCAAGTGTTTGGGACCCTGTACCCACATGAGAAACCTAGAAGAAGCTCTTGGCTTCTGGCTTCAGTCTGGCCCAGCCCTGATCATTGAGGTCATTTGGGGAGTGAACCAGTAGATAGAAGATCTCTGTATGTCTTTCCCTCTTTCTCTGTAACTCTGTCTTTCAAATAAAAATAATAATAATAAAGTCTTCTTCCCACTGTCTTTTATTAGAAGAAAAATCAGAGATATAGAAAAATTGAAAGAATAGTACATTGAAAACACACACATACACACACACAAAGATCACCTGTATTTAATAATTTTTAATGAGGCTGGCATCGTGGCATAACAGGTAAAGCAGCTGCCTGCAATGCCAGCTTCCCATATGGGTGCCAGTTTGAGTCCCAGCCACTCCACTTCTGATCCAGCTCCCTTCTAATGACCTGGGTAAAGCAGTGGAAGAGGGTCCAAGAGCTTGGGCCCCTGCTACCCTCATAGGAGACCTGGAAGAAGCTCCTGGCTCCTAGCTTCAGCCTGACCCAGCACTGGCAACTGCAACTATCTGCGGAGTGAACCAGCAGATGGAAGCTCTACCTCTCTGTCTTTCCCTCTCTCCAACTTTCAAATAAATAAATCCTTTTCAAAAAATATTTAATTGTTAATATTTTGCCTAACATAATTTTGTATCTAATATTTTGGAACTATTTGAAAATAATTTATAGATATCATATTTCACCCCAAGTACGCTGTCTTGTGGAAAAAGACATTCCCCTGCGGAACCACATTACCATTATACATCAGAGACTATTGGCTGGTGCCGTGGTTCACTTGGCTAATCCTCCACCTGTGGTGATGGCACCCTGGGTTCTAGTCCCGGTTGGGGCACCAGATTCTGTCCCGGTTGCTCCTCTTCCAGTCCAGCTCTCTGCTGTGGCCCGGGAAGGCAGTGGAGGATGGCCCAAGTGCTTGGGCCCTGCACCCACATGGGAGACCAGGAAGAAGCACCTGGCTCCTGGCTTCGGATAGGCGCATTGCGCTGGCCGTGGTGGCCATTGGTGGGGTGAACCAACAGAAAGGAAGACCTTTCTCTCTGTCTCTCTGTCTCAATATCTAACTCTGCCTGTCAAAAAAATAAAATAAAATAAATAAATAAGACTATTAATACTAATTCCCCAAGTTCAGATTCTCAGAAACATAATCCAATCAATTTTTGCCTATTGAATCTATTAGAATATAGCAATCAATATGACAGCAAAAAACAAGAAGTAAATAAAAATAGCAATATGGTATATAAAATTTGTATTATTCATACCTAATTTACTATATTAACAGTATTTATATATGTCAAAGTTCATAGAGCATTTTATAATAGTTCATAAAGTTTTATAACAGTACATAAAGCATAACATTACTGATGGAAATAACCTTTCAAGGGAAAATATAGATATTTTGAATTATCAAAATATAGCTAGTTAAAAAGTAGATATAAGTTATCAACTATTGCTAAGTAATATTAACAACAATTTAATAGTCTTACCAAATTTAATAGTCTTTAATAGTCTTACCAAAATTAGTATACTCTCTAGGTCATTGATGTCATTTATTTATATACCTGGTAATGTTTTGGATTGAGGGTAATCGCACGATTAAAATCCAGAATTGAATTATCCTTGTGCAATTTTACTTTACAAAGCCCTCGTTGGTAAAAGCTTTCTGCAAAATCAGGATTTACTTTCACAGCTCTTGTAAAGTAATCAAAAGCCTAGAAGAATATATTGTTAAAACACAAACCACTTAGTGATGTAACATTAATTTTAAATATTAATGTACTACAATGCATTATTGTTTTTGAAAACTTCACTCTATTTTTGATCAGTTTCAAAACATTTCTCACAATGAACCTTGTAATATTTAGGAACAAGTCATGTTTATTTTTATAACTAAAGGCCCCTTTCCTTATTCTCAAATGTTTACATAATCCATGTTGTTATATTGTAACGCTTTTGAGACTATAATTTTAACAATTCATCTTTAGATTGCATTTATTCAAAGAAATCACAACCAGTATATTTATTTTCCATGAGTTTCTAAAACCCATGACAGAAACACAGTTATGAAATTTCAAAACAAGGAACTACCAAAACTTTTCCTAGCATAGTAAAACAAAGATGAGTTTTCTCTGGTTGTCTAAAAGGACAAAAAAAACTTGAAGAAAATTTTAATTAATCTTGTACTAACTGGAGTTTCTTAATGGAACAACTAGTCAAGTGAAATTTTTTTCCTAGGCTATAGAAATCCAAATTTAAGATACTGTCCATCCCAGGAATACAGGAATATAATGATTTGAATGATATGCATGATTGGGGGGGGGGGGTTGGTATATAAAGATGGAGTTGTGGAATATCCAACATTAGCCATTGGATAATATAAATTATTTTACATAATTATCATATAAGTTACAATTTAAAGTGAAGAATTCTACTATATAGTAGAGACTGAATACATCTATAATAATCAAGTCAAGGATTTTCAGTGAATTTGCCCATCTTAATAACTAGTTTCAATCTAATCTGAATTATCCCATTGTCAATAAGAAGAGTCAAAGAGTATTCTAATCATTCTCCATTTATTCTACATTACACTGAAGCACTTGGTTTAGACTACTCAAAATTTAAGTAAATTCATATTAATGTGATGAAATTATTTTACTAGTTTCCTCCATTCAGACTTACTGTTTTGGCAGGAAACACACATTAGTTTTATAACACTGTTGATAAAAAGTATCAAATAAAATGCTTTGATTAAAGCCAGTTATAAGTATTGCAGGGCACAGACTGAGTCTAAGAAATCAAGCTTTGTGAGAAATCACTCACTATATGGGCAGCCTTCAGAAATAGAATGAATGCAAGGAGTTTCTAAAACCATAATTAACCTATGTTTCTAAATATACAAAATACCATTTGGATGTTGCCTTCCTCTGTGTAACAGAGACCCAGATTATACAGACAGTCTGCTAAAAGAGAAACAGCGTTCGGTCCTTGATCAGAAAGAGAGAAAGCATCCACTGCCTCCTTAAACCTCCTCACAGCTTCCTAGAATGATAAAAAAGAAGAGAGAAGAGAGAGCGTTTCTTTTTAATGGTTATTTAACATTAAAGCTGTAAATGTTAAATGAAACGCAGAGCACAATGCTCCACACTCACTGCACATGGGGACACACCGACCTGGTAAGGCCACGTTTGTCCATACACCTTGAGAAGAGGACCTGGTGAGGGAGTCTGATCTCCCTGAATCCTGCCCAAGGGCTTATCCTACAAGCCAAGCTCACACATGTCAATCTTGGGAACTATAATTTCTAAATTCTAAAGACTATTTTGTTATAGACTTATGTCAGACAAATTTATGGACTAGTTTATTATCAATTTCCCAGTAATTTTCTTGAGAAGCTATGAGCTTGTAAAAGATCTTAATGGATATTATTGGATATAACTTTTTAAATTTATTGATTTGAGATGTCTAGACAGAGAGAGAAAAAGACAGACAAATAGCTCCCATCCACTGATTCACTCCCAAATACCCACAAGAGCTGGAGCTGGGCTGTGCCAAAAACAGGGGCTGGGAACACAGTCCAAGTCTCCCACATGGATAACAGGAACCCAATTACTTGACCAACACCACTGTGTCCCAGGGGGTGCACTGGCAACAAGTTGGAGTCAGGAGCCAGGACTGAGACTGGAACCGATGCACCCCAATATGGGATGCAGGCATCTTAATTACTAAGTTAAATACCTACTCTCATGATGTAATTTTAATCAACCTTTATTATACACTTCTATGTTCTTCAGGGGGTTCTACTGGCACCAGAAAACAAACTACCATCAAAAATCACCCTCTTAAATTATTTAGCCAAAATACTTGAAATTCATTAATGAAAAAAATTCAGTTTTACAGCTAGAAATATCATCTAATGATTACTGCATATATCAATATAGAAATATTAATGTTATTCATCCCATTTTCTGAGACATATTAAATTGCTGAAGAAACAGTGAGATTTAACTTGGATGTGATAAGCGCCTAAGGAGGTAAATGTGATAAATATTTAGAAAGTAGAACCAAGAAAACATCACTAGAAGGGGGCAGGCAAACAATGATTCCCAGCTTCCAGCTGGAGCAATGGCAAGGGTTGGGGGAAGAAGAGGATCAAAGCAAATATAAAGGGGTACAGCTGAAAGGTGGGGGAAGATCAATTTTCAAATGAGAATGAGAAGTAGACAACGACACATACTGAGAAATGACAAGGCTTTGCAACAAGGAAGTCACTAACGTCATTAGCAACACTTCAAGCTCTGGAATTCAAGATGGCCGTCTAGAGGAAGTCCTATGTTTGCTTCCTCCTTCACTGAGGTACTCCAAATTAGCTACATCTAGAGGTCAGCTGCCTGACAAACAGCACCAGAGGCAGAGGGAGAGAAGGAGGAACACAGTGGGACAGCCATAGCAGGCAGAGCAGTTCAGAGAGAGGAGAAAGAGCAGTAAGGCAGTATCTGAGGCATACTGGCAGATGGGGGAGAGGATGAACAGGAGTGCATAGGCAGAGCCCATGAGCCCCGACCTCTTACCAGGGTGATCCCCCTCAGAGAACTGTGCTGCCGCAGACGAACGGCTCAGTAAGCAGTACTCCCTCAAAGGCTTGGGGCTCTCGGACTCTAGAGGGGAATCTGCACAGTGCACTCCCCAACTCCTCGGGCAGGGATTGGGGGACAGGGAGGAGGGGTGCCATCCTGAGACGGGAGCTGCTCAGAAGTTCTTGCCTATCTTCTTTGCAGGGGCCTCAGAGACTTTCCTGCATTCTAGCAGGGAAAACAGCCCCCACAGGGCCAGCTGGGCCCAGCAGGGCATTGGCAGCCCTAGAACCCGTGCCCATACCGCACTCTGCACTGTGGGGGACAGTGAGGGCAGGGCAGCTGTGGGAGCGCCTAGCACTGTGGAAATAAGAAGACATGGCCTCTTCTGAACTGAGAGCCATCCTCTCCAGCTGCCTGCCTCCACTTGAAAAACAGCAGGTTGTTACTAGGTTCCCAAGCACCCATGTATTCAGACTGGAGATCCAGAGCTCCATGCACACTAGGGATGGATCTCACAATGGAATCGTGGAGCAGACTGTGGGGTGGTCAGTGCTCCGGATGCTGCACACATCCGAGTGGGTGAAGTACATTGGCACCATGAGTTCACTCTAAGTTAGCAATCAGCTTGTTCACCTGGCACAGAGAAAAGCTGGGAGGGTGAACACACCAGCTGGCTCAAACTTCGCCTCCCCTGACTGTAGCCAGAGGTGCTCCACCACACCCATCTTGGATATTGCTCTGGACACTTGCTCCACCAAAACTGTGGCCTAAGCTCCCTGACCTCAACTACCTCAACTAGCACACACCTCTGAACTCAGGTGTAAGCAGTAGATGCCCCAGGCTGGAGTCCCAGAGGCACAACCCCAGGAATACAGCCTTCAGTCAAAAAAAAAAAAATCCTCCAGTGGCCAGTGCCGTGGCTCACTAGGCTAATCCTCCGCCTTGCGGCGCCAGCACACCGGGTTCTAATCCCGGTCAGGGCGCTGGATTCTGTCCCGGTTACCCCTCTTCCAGGCCAGCTCTCTGCTGTGGCCAGGGAGTGCAGTGGAGGATGGCCCAAGTCCTTGGGCCCTGCACCCCATGGGAGACCAGGAGAAGCACCTGGTTCCTGCCTTCGGATCAGTGCAGTGCGCCGGCCACAGCCCGCCAGCCGTGGTGGCCACTGGAGGGTGAACCAATGGAAAAGGAAGACCTTTCTCTCTGTCTCTCTCACCATCCACTCTGCCTGTCAAAAAATAAAAAAATCCTCTAGAAGTGATAGAAATAAAACATCCCCCAAATGTACAAAAATCAATGTAGGAAAACAAGAAACATAAACAAAGAAGGGCGACGACTCCTCAAAAGGAACACAATACAATAATGCATTAATACTGAAATGTGAAAAAAGGGACATTGGTGAAATGCCTGAAAAAGATTTCAAAAGAATGATTGTAAGGTTTCAAAAATACAGAGAAAGAGTTAAATGAAATTAGGAAATCAGTATATGGTATGGACAACAAATTCAGTGAAGGGAGAAACACTGAAAAACAACCAAATAGAAATATTAGAAATGAAACATTCAATAAGTAAACTAAAAAATACAGTGGGAAGCCTTAAAAATAGACTTAATGAGGCAGAAAAAAAGAATGTCCAGTGTAGACGACAGGTTTTTGAAATATATCAGTCAGTGGAAAAAAAGGAAAGAAAGAAAAAAATTAGAACAAAAGCAGTGTAAGGTTTATGGGATATCATCAAATGACCAAATATACAGTTCTTAGGAGTTCCTGAAGGTATGGGGGTAAAAGAATGGTTTATTAAACCTACTCCATGAAATAATAGCAGAAAATTGCCCCAATTTGAAGAAAGATTTGGACATCCAAATTCAGGAAGCACATAGAAGAAACCCAAATAGGCATGATCAGAAATGATGTTACAGAGAGAGATAAAGACAGAGAGAGAGGTCTTCCATCCACTGGGTCACTCCCCAGATGGCTGCAACGGCCGGAGCTGTGCTGATCCAAAGCCAGGAGCCAGGCACTTCTAGGTCTCCCACATGGGTGCAGGGGCCCAAGGACTTGAGCCATCTTCCACTGCTTTTCCAGGCCACAGAAGAGAGCTAGATCGGAAGAGGAGCAGCCAGGACTAGAAATAGCGCCCATATGGGATGCCAGCGCTTCAGTCAGGGCTTTAACCCGCTGCGCCACAGTGCTGGCCCCAATAATCAAACTTTCAAAAGTAAAACATAAAGAGAATATCCTGGCCGGCGCCGCGGCTCACTAGGCTAATTCTCCACCTAGCGGCGCCAGCACACCGGGTTCTAGTCCTGGTCGGGGCGCCGGATTCTGTCCCGGTTGCCCCTCTTCCAGGCCAGCTCTCTGCTATGGCCCGGGAGTGCAGTGGAGGATGGCCCAAGTGCTTGAGCCCTGCACCCGCATGGGAGACCAGGAGAAGCACCTGGCTCCTGGCTTCGGATCAGTGCAGTGCGCCGGCCGCAGCGCGCCGGCCATTGGAGGGTGAACCAACGGCAAAGGAAGACCTTTCTCTCTGTCTCTCACTCTCACTGTCCACTCTGCCTGTCAAAAAATAAAAAAATAATAATAAATAAAAATAAAAAAGAGAATATCCTAAAATGTGCAAGAAAGAAATGTCAGGTCACTTTTAAAGGAACTCCCATCAGATGATGGAAGACTTCCCAACAGAAACCCTACAGGACAGGAGAGAATGGAGAGACATAGCTCAAGTTCTAAAATAGAAAACTGACAACCCAGAACACTTTACCCAGAAAAGCTCTCATTCATAAAGATGAAATAAAGAACTTTCAAAACAAGCAAAAATTGCAAGAATGTGTTACCACCTGCCAGCCTTACGAATGATACTTAAGGATGCACTATATACAGAAACAAAGAAATACAATCAGTATCATGAAAGAGTATGAAGGCAGATTCAAAACAAAAAATAGGAACATTTGTGGAAAACTGGCAGAAACAAGTCATTACTTATCAATAATAACCTTCAATGTGAATGGATTAATTCCTCATTTAAAAGATACAGACTGGATGAATGGATTTTAAAGAAAATCTATATGCAGCCTACAAGAAACACACTTTACCAATAAAGATATACAAAGACTGAAAGAAAAAGGATGGAAAAAGTTATTCCTTGCAAGTGGAAATCAAAGGCAAGCAGGAGTAGTTATCCTCATATGAGACAAAATAGACTTTAAGACAAAACTGTTAAAAGACACACACAAGGTCACTGTGTAATGATTAAGGGATCAATTTAACAAGCTATGACTATAATAAATGTATATTCATCCAATGTCAGGGCACCCAGTTTTCTAAAACAAATATTAATGGATCTAAAAGGGAGACATAAGCTCCAATACAGTAATAACAGATGACTTCAACATCCCACTTTCATTAATGGATACATCAACCAGATTAAAAAAAAATCAGCAAACAACAGAGCTAATGTACACTATACCAA